CATGTGAATTTAAGATTGCATATATTGCATGTCAACATACAAAAAGTGGGTTATAACAGAACTCTGACTCACCGTACCTTCTGCAAAAATTTTCCGCCACTCATTTTTTTTAGTCTGCATATTCATCCTTTTATTTCTACGCAAATACAATTAAATTGACTTTTTATCCGAATATTTTGTTAACGCTCTTATTAGAACAACACATGTAAGTGAACAATATTGTTTTAAATTAAATATTCATCAGGCTTTAATCTAACGTGCATAAATATTTATGTTAAAATATGAAGCCAAATGAGACAATTCACTAATCAATGATAACAATGAAATACATTGCATTTTAATGGCCCGAGATCTGACTCCAATTAGATCATATGTTGATCTCTATTGAATGATTGCTATCGAAATATATATGACGGCTATTCTCGGTTGAGGTTAAGCATGGAGTTAGCGACCCCATCCCGTAGAAAACTAACTCGCTAAAATAACGATAACCAGAAAAATTATTCAAACCTTTTAAACTCTGCCCTGGGAGTCAGAAGGTCTTCATTTAGAAGAACTATGACGCCTTATGATGAAAGCCGAATTCCTTCGGAAGTCACGAGGCTGATGCCCCTTCTGACAACCAGAGCAACCATACATTTAGGTACATGGAATACTCGTACAATGTGAGAGACCGGGAGAGTATTCCAAATTGCTGCAGAAATGAGGAGATACAACCTGGAGGTGCTCGGGATCAGTGAAACACATTGGACACAAGTTGGACAACAACGACTAGCTTCAGAGGAGCTTCTGCTATACTCCGGCCATGGTGAAGAAAATGCCCCACACATACAAGGAGTTGCATTGATGCTGTTCAAACAAGCACAAAATGCACTTATAGGATGGGAATCTCATGAACCAAGGATCACCAAAGCCTCCTTCAAAACAAAGAAAGAGGGCATTACAACGAACGTCATCCAATGCTATGCGCCTACCAACGACCACAATGAAGACGCTAAAGATCAATTCTACAATAGGCTGCAGTCAATGATCGAGGAGTGCCCAACAAAGGACCTGACCATTCTGATGGGAGATTTCAATGCCAAGGTTAGAACGGACAACACTGGATATGAAGACATCATGGGACGACACGGACTGCGAGAAAGGAACGAAAATGGTGAGAGATTTGCAAACCTATGTGCATTCAATAAACTGGTCATGGGCGGTACCATATTCCCACATAAACACATACACAAAACCAAATCGACCATATGTACATCAACAAAAGGTTCAGGAGGACGATGGGGGACGTGCGAACCAAGAGAGGAGCTGATATAGCCTCAGATCATCACTTGCTGGTCGCCAAGACGAAATTGAAACTCAAGGAGTACTGGACAATGGGGCGGACAACATCACAAAAGTTCAATAAGGCCTTTCTTCAGGATACTGACAAACTCAACAAATTCAAGATAGTCCTCAGCAATAAGTTCCAGGCCTTTCATGATCTACTCAATGGAGAAGGAACTACTATGGAGAGCAACTGGAAGGGGATCAAAGAAGCAATCACTTCACCATGCCATGAGGTTCTGGGTCACAAGAAGCACCATCACAAGAAATGGATCACTGTTGATACACTGGATAAGATTCAAGAAAGGAGTAACAAGAAAGCAGCAATTAATACCAGCCGAACAATAGCAGAAAAAGCCTAGGCACAAGCTGAATACACAGAAGTAAACAAGCAAGTGAAGAAAAGCATCAGAACTGATAAGCGTAAATATGTGGAAGATTTAGCAACGACGGCGGAAAAGGCTGCAAGAGAAGGAAACATGATACAATTTTATGATATAACAAAGAAAGTCGCTGGAAATTATCGTAAACCAGAACGACCAGTGAAGAACAAGCAGGGCGAAGTAATCACCAACATTGAAGAGCAACGAAACAGGTGGGTAGAACACTTCAAAGAACTCTTGAATCGACCAGCCCCACTGAACCCACCCAACATTGAAGCAGCACCCACGGACCTCCCAATCGATGTTGGCCCATCAACAATTGAAGAGATAAGCATGGCCATCAGACAAATCAAGAGTGGCAAAGCAGCAAAACCAGACAACATTACAGCAGAGGCACTGAAAGCAGATGTAGCGGCAACTGCAAGGATACTCCGCATTCTCTTCAGCAAGATTTGGGATGAGGAACAAGTACCAACAGACTGAAAATAAAGACTTCTGGTCAAAACACCAAAGAAAGGCGATCTGAGGAACTGTGATAGTTATTGGGCAGCGTGGACAGAACAACACTATGGAAGCTTCTTCAATACTACGGCTTACTCTCACTCTTTCTCCTGGTGATCGACTAGGTCATGAAGACGTTAACACCTGAAGGGAAACGCGGGATACAGTGAACATCTAGGATACAGTTGGACGATCTAGACTTCGCAGATGATCTGGCCCTCCTATCGCAACCACAGCAACAAATACAGGAGAAAACGACCAGTGTAGCAGCAGCCTCAGCAGCAGTAGGTCTCAATATACACAAAGGGAAAAGCAAGATTCTCCGATACAACAAAGCATGCACCAATCCAGTCACAATTGACGGAGAAGATTTGGAAGTTGTAAAAACCTTTACATATTTGGGCAGCATCATTGATGAACATGGTGGATCTGATGCAGATGTGAAAGCGCGGATCGGCAAAGCAAGAACTGCATATTTACGACTGAAGAACATCTGGAACTCAAAGCAACTTTCAACAAACACCAAGATCAGGATTTTCAATACAAATATCAAGACAGTTCTACTGTATGGGGCAGAAACCTGAAGAAATACGAAAGCCATCATCCAGAAAATACAGGTGTTTATTAACGGCTGTCTACGCAAAATACTTCGGATCCATTGGCCAGACACTATCAGAAACAACCTACTGTGGGAGAGAACAAACCAGATCCCAGCGGAGGAAGAAGCGCTGGAAGTGGATAGGACACACAATGAGGAACGCACCCAACTGCGTCACAAGACAAGCCCTCACATGGAATCCTCAAGGCCAAGGTAAAAGAGGAAGACCAAAGAACACATTACGCCGGGAAATGGAAACAGACATGAGAACAATGAACAAGAATTGGATGGAACTAGAAAAGAAGGCCCAGGACAGAGTGGGTTGGAGAATGCTGGTCGGCGGCCTATGCTCCATTATGAGTAACAGGCGTAAGTAAGCTATCTTCGGTTCCCGGCTGATCCCCTTCTATGTATTTATTTGAACACATAAATATTGGTACAAAGAGACACCGTATACATATGTGCCACACAAGTCACTTCATTTGTGTGTGGGCTGTGAGAATGCCCGGGTACCCAGACTGAAGCAGGTGGCTTTCTCAGGGGAATATACACGGAGCCATCGACCCAACGGTCTGATCAACAAAGCAACGTTAAGATAGGTAGTTTAATGGTAACCGGTGAACAACAGTGAGTCATCCGTTGTCTCAGAATCCTAGAGGCCCGACGCACCACTGGTTTGGAATCAAAGTTTTCCAACTCCCCTAGGTGGATCCTCCATATCTACCAACCCAGTAAAAGCGCCGGATATTCGCTTTTCTTCCTTTGAATTTCGTAAACAACACCCCCAACCACGGGAAGGCTGTGAGCAGAACTTCCCTGGGAGTGGTTGTATGCACGTAGCTATGTGAGAGCTGACCTTCATCCCCGGTTGTACCGGGGTGTTGCCGTAACACACATGAACGAAGCACTTCAAAACAATCTGATATCACATACCTGTTCTCTACATATAATGCTACTATCTATATTAAGCTGATTATGTATATAAACTGATGTAAATTCTGTAATTATTATTTTCATAGTATATTTACTATTATTATATTAATGTAGACCTATGGTGAGAAAATGGCAGTATACTGAAAGATGTTTTAAACTAATTTCATTCGTCCATCGTTTGTTTCTCATGTTTTATAAATTATGTAGAACTTATAACTTGATAATCTAAGCGAAGTATGTTATCCAGTTGTATTTCTGACCCAACCGAAGAAATACAAAACTAGACTGCTTATAAATAAAGTTTTAGAAATCCATAGCTAAATAAAAAATACTCTTGTAGTTCTCGCTCAATTGTTTTCCCAAGTTTAGTCAATTTCTTTAAAGAAAATTTATTTGAATCTCTAATAGAATTATATATATATATATATATATATATATATATATATATATATATCATTTGCAGCCATTTTAATGATCCATACAACTGAAAAAAATAGTGTTCACAACCGCCGTGCATTTAATGATATGCCAGATACATTGAGCACAGCTTTTGAAAGCAGGTCAACCAATGACTTATTTTTAAATATCTATAATCATCCACCTGTAATTAATCAATAGAGGCTACCGACTTAGACCAATGTGGTTCCTATTTCAGCCAAAACATATTTGGTATTTTGTGTGATCAAATGATTACTAGAACTTTTTTCTAATTTGAATTGAATCAGTGTAATACGTCCTCTTTCTTATGGTGGTCAAATATGAAAAGGATGAATAACAACTGGAAAGGATTGCCCAGGATAGGGTTGGATGATGAATGCTGGTGAGCGACGTATGCTCCTCCACGAGGAGTAATAAACGTAAGTGTACCGCGGTTAATTTCATACATTTGATATTATTTATCATAAATTAAAAGGAAGACGATCTTTTAAAAGAATTCATAATACATATATAGATCATTGAACGTTGATTGATACATTTAAAGTTTATTGCTTGATTATATTTTGAAAATAACTAATAACCAATTAATAAGAAACATAATTCCATGCTCAATTTTTACAATATGATAAAGAGATTATTATTATTAATTTGTAATAATTGAAAAGTTTTTGAATATAAAATAGAACAAAAGACAAGAATAATACAAATTAAAATTGTTATAATTTTACATTAAGAAAATGAAAAGGGTAGCCAAGTCGTGTAAACGGATAAAACAATAGAACTCATAAAATGACACATAATACGAATATATATATATATATATATATATATATATATATATATATTTCTATGTATATTATATTGTAAATAGAAAAATCAATAATTTTAGCTAAATATGTATCGAAAATTATTATTAAAATTAATTATTAAATCATTTATACTTTCTTTTTTTTAAAAATTTTTTACGTTGATAAGTAGTTTTGGATTAAAAATTACCCCCTATCTTAATCATAATTGTCACGTCTTGGATACAGAAAACTTAAATATTTTTTATCAATGTCAAAATGGATAAGAACATTGTCAGTTCAAAAAAAAGAAAAGAAATCGACAAACCAACAGAATGGGAAAATCAACTTTGACAAATAAGCAATGATGATATTACATTGTTTTCTCTCCTTTTTCTGCAGAAAACACGAACATACAGTATCAAAATTAAAGTTTTATGAATCTATTGAAGCATTTCAACTTAATCTCTTTGAAATCTTGCTTAGGTTTGGAAAATACTGAATAACCATTTCTGACTTTAAGCATCAGCCGCATTCGACAGTGATGAAGATGATGGTAATAATGATTGTTGAACACTGAAACAACATTGACGACTTTCATTGGCTACCATACGGAAAAGCAACTGTGATGAGATTTTTAAAACAAAAGAGTTACATCGGCATTAGAAATAAAAGTTAAAATAGCGGTAATTTATTTATAACATCTAATTACGTCTCATGACTAATACCATGGTGTGGGTTACTTATATCCACATAAGTAGTATGTAACGGTGTCAGACATACAATGTATTTGAGTAGGAGGTCGATGAGAGAAGAACGGGAACGGAACGCAATTGGTATGAAAACGGGTGAACAATGAAATCTGAGACAATGGATTGATGTTTGCAATAGGAACAGTCAAGTTTGAGACAATGGATTGATATTTTGCAAATTAATAAATTACTATATGGTTCTCAGATTTTATTGAGATCCTCTGTAATTTTTTGTCAAATTGTATTCGATTGTCCCAACTCGTATTCTTGTTCACTACCATTTCGAGTCATAACACCATTCAATATATTTCCACTTTAACAGTTAACCGGACAGTAATAAAAGCTTAGCATAATAAATAAGCACATATATATGTCATCATTTTTTTACTTAATTCCTAAACTTATAAAATGAACGTATCGTGGTAGTACATGCTTTCTATCTAATGTGATTACATCGAGTGCAATACAATTTGAAATAAAAGAATCTATAGATAGTTGACCATGTGTCGTATCATAAACCAGCAAATTATAATACAATGATAGTTGCATTACTCTATCTTCAAACAAGTACTATTCGGATTTCTTATGCAAGAATTAACTGTGAATACCAGGCAATCAAATCAATTAAGTTAACAAGTATACTTTCTATCCATTAAACACAAAAGCCAATATAAAATGACACAAGATAATTTATGAACATGGGAAGTTATGTGATCAAAATAATTCAATTACGGTATTTTCTTGACTGCTTTTTCAGCTGGATGAAATTTGATGAGGCGTTTGTCAATCATATGACTAACCATAATCCATCCCACAGCTTGAACCTTGCGTTAACGACGGAGAGCTTCATTTAGAATTCTGTAATCAAGACTCTGTCAGTACAAAAACCACTTCAACAGTGCTGCTGAGCCGAATGGGAAATCCTACCTATTACAGATAACAAACCAACTGCCGGTTGAGGAGGAAATCGGGAAAGGAAACTGGAGGTGGATCGGATACAGTTTACGGAAACCATCAAACTGAACCACAAGTCAAGCCCTGATTTATATTCTTCAAGACAAAAGGAAAAGAAGCAGGCCAAAAAATGTCGCTGATAATTGGAGCCAGACATCAAGACCATGAATAGCATTTGGCGACAGGTGGAAAGAAGATCCTAGAATGGAATTGTCTGGTGACTCTGTTGGAATTTTCTACCTTATAAGGTGGGTGGCAGGTCCCAGTTAGCAATTTTTAGCTGATATATGGGGTGGAAATATTTAAATTAGGAAGTAATCTTCCACAAGTTCTTAGATACTTTATTACGTAGGAAGTTTATGTTCCTCACATCAACTAAAAATAAACGGAAAAACTTATCAGGAGGGGGTGATGATAATAAGATTTTTAGATATTGCCTGATTTCTCCAAATCTAGACGGTCACGAGTCGTCTGAAGTTTAAATGTTAAGTGGGAAATCACTTAGAAAAAATGAAACGGAAAGAAGTAGCATATATTTTAGACTAGGGTCTCAACCCACATACAGCTATCTAGGTCACGGAAGACAACTGTTTAACTATCCATGATCTGTTCACATTACTATTCGGCTCGGCAATTAAACATCCCAGTCATGCACTCTTCTTATCTGCATAGCGGGTTTGGTATACTGCAAGAAGCGTACGTATCGTAAATGGATCGGACCGCAGAACACAAGAACTTATAACATTTTTAAAGAGCAGATTATTTGGAGATAAAAGAATAAGTAATAGAAAACACAACTTACGACTGCAGCCAGAGCCAACGCGACCATAAGCATAATAATAATGACAGACCAACCATATGGTTTCATGAAACCACACAGTAAAGGTCCGAGTGCTGCACCTAATTTAACGAATGTGAAAAATGAAAATAACACATCATGCCGCCGATGAAATAAGAATATTTATCTTTTATACAGTTACAATGATTGTAAAAACGACGACAGTAATAATGTATGATATATAAATAGAAATGACAAGTCAATTAATTAAACCATAAACGTTTATTAACTGAAATAGCTGATATACATGTTATACAGGCCTTGTTACTGGCTGCCCCCAGGCTAGATCTTGAATGACATAGGAGTAGATCAGCAGAAAATCTAGGAGTGAACAGACCAAACCATAGTATCAACCTATGAAGTTGATGAGTGTACGCTATTAAACTGATTTACGACTTCTTCATTATTAGTATTTTGATCTACGGTCACGAATGTGTTATCCACGTAACGGAAGTGTAGATCTAGTTTATTGATAGCTTACATGAACGGTTCATTTCTTATTGTTAGGAAGAAATAAGCTAAAACTGGACTTAAATATGAGCCCATAGCTATTTTATCAATTTGTCTATAATAATTATTGTTGAAAACAAAACGACTTAACGAACGATTTTATCAATTTTTCACATTACGCATTTTTCGTCAATCATCTCATTCTATTTATATTCTTCACTATCTGATTGTTTACACGAGTTTTATTACGTAATTTTATTATTATTATTATTAATGGCTTTATTCAATATTATATTTTGGTACAATATAGAATTCTCAGCACAGGGTATTATCCGCTATCAAGTTACTTACGCAACAACAAAAAAACACAGTAACAAATACAAAAAGAAATAAAAGTTTTTTCTAAAAAAAAACCGAAAACCTGTACAACTTTTAAAATTAGAGACATGTTAAGAATGCAGGTTATTGACTAGGTTAATTCTAACAACCTGTTCGTCACAGAGTATATTTGCTAGGTAAGGTATTATAGAACTTTTATACTTTTCCTTGCGTGCATGGATTTTAATGTAATTACGTCTCGTTCTACCAGAAGAAGATATACAAGAAGAAAGATAAGAGTGAAGGGGATGGTTAGTATCTGATAAAATGACACCTGCCAGGAGTTTGCTTGATTTTAAATGTCTATCCACAACCATATTAATTATGACCTCGAAAGATTCACCACACATCTTGCTAACTGCCTTCAGCACTCTTCGCAATACAGCAGTCTTTTCTCAAAAGACCGGGAAAGAATAATGGAGAACAGTAAAGAATAATAAGTAATATGCAAGAATTGACAAATTGTAAAAGTAAATGACGAGTAATTCCAAGAGCATGCAATCTCTTTATGTAGTAGGTCAGACGGAAAATCTTCTTCGATAACGATAAAACGCGGGAAGACCAAGACAGATCAGAGGAAAAGGTGACACCAAGATAATTGACCTTCGACACTGAGTTTATCAAAGTCTCCGATGGTACAAGCACTATGGGATCTCAAAATGGTGTTTAGATTCCGTTCATGTCTCATGCTAAAGTTAACAGCTTGACATTTAGACGGATTAAGTATGAGACCATTACCAACAGACCAACAATCAATACGAGACAAAAACTCATTCATTTCTATGGGATGTAAAGAGGAAGATATAGGCATACATACAGTGAGATCATCCGCATACTTCACAAAAGTGTTTTCTGTGGAAGATGGCAGATCATGCAGATAAAACGAGAAAAGAAGAGGTGAAAGAACGGCTCCTGGTGGTACACCTTCATGAGACAGAAGAGACTCTGAACTCTTTCCTCCAAACACAGTGTACTGTTCCCTTCCAGAGAGGTAGGAACATAGCCAGTTGGTTATCCAGCTGTCAGTATCGACGCTGATTAACTTGTTGATTAATTGTTGTCTTGGTATGGAATCAAAAGCTGAAGCATAGTCCAGAGAAGCACATCGAACATACTTCTTACCCTTTTCTAAGTTGAATACTATGTTGTGATGAAGAACAGCAACAGCATCTAAAGTACTTCTTTTGCGTCTGTATGCAATCTGATATGGAGCATCACATCAAATGACTGACGTATAAAAGACTTATTTAAGTCACAAACATTCAGCTGGTTATCGCTTCTAAATTGTCTGTCACCTGTAAGTTTTTTAAAGAGTTTCCACATACTTGGAGAGTTTTTGCAAAACAAGAGTTTTTGAGTAAACATACAGTTGAGACGTCTAGTCTCTAGGTTTATCAGACCATTTAGCTTACGAATTTCATAAGTTTTTCTCCTTGTACATTCTTTCTTTCACCCTTCGTAGTCGTTTTAGTTGTGAAGATGTAAGTCGATCAAAACTTACAAAAATGGTTTCAGTGGGACAACAAATATCAAAACAGAATTTAAGGTAACAAGTGATAACATCAGTAGTATTTTCCAGTGTGTCATCTGTAAATAATTCCCAGTTAGTCGTATGAAACATGTTTTTCAGATTTCGGATATTTTCTGAGTATTCCCTATATTTGACTTTCTTGGTTTGATGTAAGAGTGTACTCTTCCCATGCTTTCCATGTACTTTAGGTAGAACACGAATTATACAGTGATTCGAGATAGACAGTGGAGCACGTTTACGAGTCGCATATATACCCACATCATTAATCAAGACGAAGTCTAAATGAGCATCCAAACGGGTAAGAAAATCTACTAAATTTTGGTGACCTAGTGACGTAAGGAAGTTACAGTCACATGAATTGAAATCACCACATACAAGTGAAAGTGAGTCACTGAAGGCAGAAACAGCGAACTCAGTGAATTCATCAGCGAAAACAGATAGTGCTGATGATGTGCAATCTGGAGTAACGTAGATATTGGTAACATAAACATATTTGCGTTTATTCAGATGTTTTGGACATCTGAGCATCTGGGCATCTGAAAACTTAAAACACACAAACGAATATCGACACCAGTTTATGTTTACAAACGTAGCTACACTACCACCACACCTCTTTTTGTTGTTTGATCGATCCTGACGATAAATTTTGAAATCACGTAGTGATACTAGGCAGTCATCCTGTAAATCATTTAACCAAGATTCTTGAATTTTGATGACACCACAATTACGATACATATTTTGACTTAGTGGGAATTGAAGATAGTCCACTTTGTTGATTAGTGATCAGTAGTTAGAATTTAGCAGCTCGGGAATCGACATACGATTAATGTTCATTCTCTTTAACGCATATTGCCAACCAACACGATGTCTTTTATAGTACTTTTTTGTAACTTGTGCAGTGAAAGGTCGTAGGCTTTTCATAAAAGCGTCTGAATAGGTTATGCGATTAATGGACATAATTATAAGTTAAAACGAATGAAAAAACAGATAACTTGTTGAAATAATCAGACGGCAGAAACAAGTAGCCCAGATATTCAAGCAGGCCGCCAAATTTTAACTAGTTTATGCGATTATTATTTCAAAAACGATTTATCGAAGTTTGACCTACTTCTTATGTTGGACTATTGATCAGAACTTCTGTTATTTTATAAACTGTATCACTACTACTTGTACACCTGCCTTCTTACTATCAATTTCCATTATTTACTCCGACTAATCCACGAAATTGAGCGACACGCCCACCATTGGCGTCAGTGAGTTAGACATTAACACCGTCGGATGCCGGCAAGTTCAGTGGTCTAGGGGTTAAGCGTTCGCGCGCGAGGCCGATAAGTCCTGGGTTCGAATCTCGCGAAGTGGAATCGTGGATGCGCAGTGCTGAGGAGTCACACAATAGGACGAGGCGGCCGTCCAGTGCTTTCAGGTTTCCCACAAAAATCCCTTCTGGTATTATCATATTTAGTTAAGTAATCTGCCGGATTGTGACTATTGACTAATGCAATGCCTCCATTGGTTTAATATTTCCATGTAAATATCTATGTACATTAGAGTAAAGCCTGATGAATATCTAATTTAAAACAATATTGTTCGTTTACATATGTCATTCCAAAATTAAGATAGTTAATTAAGGAATATTGGAACAAATTTAAAACGCCAGTGTGAATAGCTGGTTGTTGAAAGTAATGGTTCCAACAACTATTACGGAACTTGAAACGACGGGATGACGTTTTTGCGGAATAAAGTGTTAGGAATACGAGTTAAGGTTACGGTAATGATCTTCAGTCTAACTTGCCGATATTTAGCCCTGATAAGTTTACTATTCGTCTTAAAATATTTAATCCTTTGTAATTTTATCATTTCGTAATATAGAATTCTTTCACAAAGACTGCATTATGATTAGTTGATCTCAAGGTCATTCCTAAAAACTACCTAAGGTCATCGGTATAATATAGTTTAACCTAGATTTCATTCACCTTTATTCTTCGATCATAATGAAGTCGACAAAAGGTATTAAAACACAATCTAACAATAAACAGCTTAAAACCCTATACTTCAATGTTACCAAATAAGTTCAGTTAGTGAAGAAACTAACGGTTAAACTTCTACAGTAGTTTTATAATGGAAACAATTTAACTAAAAATTGGCTAGAATCAATTTGCAGCTGCTTAGATGTACTAATTATGAAATAACTTATTCCTTCACTCTTAACGGCAACGTTTTACTCTTCTTTCAATACGGTATGCAGATTAGTTGGACATTCGAATACCATGAATACCACATATATTTAAATGTATATTCAATGTGATGGACAAATATGAATATAACAGCTGAGGCAATAAGTCAGGACTCAATAATTAACATTCTAGGATTAAATAATTCCCTTCATTTGATATTACTAATTTAATGCTTGATTTGCGCAAAGACCTACCAAAATATATAATACTTTGGTTATTCACTGGTTCGAAACAGATAATAAAATGTTTGTATAAACCTATGTTTAACAAATGACTGACAATATATTACTGTATATTAAGAATAAAGTTATCAACAAAGTGTAGAAACTGTTAGATATTGTGACTCCATTCAACACATGGTATACAAATCTCCACTGTCGACAGGTTAGATCATTTGAATCACATTTTTACGGATTTTTTAGCTTTAGATATATACTAATAAGATTTTCCTCATCAAAGTATCAAGGATAAATAGCCGCAACTATGAGTAAAACTAAGTGCAACATGAAGTGAGTATTGTTAGCACAACGTACCAACTGAACCTGTTCCATCAATAATACCTGTTACTGTAGCCAATGCACGAGAATTTTTAGACAATGAAGGATGAGTACCTAGATCAGCTGAAACTGCTGTTGTAATCAAAGCGTAAGGACCATTAACAAACAATCCCAATGGGATTAATAAACCTAAAATAATGTAGAAATTAGTCATTAGAAAAGTATATTTTTAAAGGATCTGTTAATAAAAATAATAACAGAACCAGTAACCATTTACAATTTTGAACAATTGATTGATAATACTACTTGATTGCTTAAATCTCAGTAAGAGATAATGTGCAAACAATTGAACTGGTCACAAATATACATCGTGGAGAATTAGGTTTCTAACTAAACATGCTAGAAATCCAATATATGTTAATTTTCCCTTAGATTCTGAGCTTCAAATTTGTTTCATACTTCTCATCCTACGAATTAATTCTTCCCTCTCGAATTACATTTATGGTTAATCATTGTTATTACCATTGATAATACAACTACTGTTTTTACCACTTCGATATTTATCTTGATAATTTCATCTCGTTGTTCTGATGTGATATATATATATATATATATATATATATATATATAATGTTCCAAGTTTTACACTATCTAGGGAGTGGATGACTGCAGGACATTATAAAATGCCATAGCACTGAAAAGCTGAGTATGATGATAGATAAATTTCAAAAAGGATTGAAGGTATCGGATATATACAACAATAGCTGTCGCCTGCTCTATTCTAGTGTCTGTCATCAGTACGTCCGCAGACTGCCGTATGATGAAAATGAAGGATAAGTTGTTATACATCATAGAATTATTTCAAAGAAAGATATTAGTTTAAGTGTTACGATGGACCATTGATATTCTACTTTACCTATAACGATTGCAAACTAAAAATTACTTATTGAGCATATGTAAATTACTTCGAAACTAGAAAAGAATGCTTGACATCAACCCCAAGGTATCAGTCAAAAACTCTAAACGACGATGAAGAGTAACTGACTGATCAATCTTACCATCTAAAACAAAGGTCGTTCTGTTTTATCGAAAGAATGACAACTGAAGTAAAATCAACGTCAGTGAAGTTATCAAATAAGTCATATATTTATGTAACTTTGCACTGATTACTGATTCGTATATTCATTTGGCTTTCGAATCACAATCTTTTTGTTTACGCAGATAAGTAGTTAAAATACTACTGATCTGGTTAAACTGAAGCCAACAGGAGTGATGGTTTAGTTTTTAATCTAATGGTTGTAAGATGTACACTTTACTCACTGATCTGCACCCTTATCAGAGTATTTACAGTACTAAATTTTCGATTATTTATCAAAATATGGTTCACTCTCTTTATACTCAGTGATATTGGATATATCACAGTTTAGTAAGTTTCATCATGAAATTCATCCAGTTTCTTGTACAAAATACAAAAATACTAATTGGATGATTTCTTTGGAAACCAGAAACGTGTCAAACGACCGTGTGGTAACGCACAGAATTATCAATTACACAGTGCGGACATTAAACTAGAAGTAATTTTTTCCCAAAACTTAGCAACAGATAAATTGCAACTATACACCGAAATAAAATGAACTACCTAACCTTGCTCAACTTACCGATACAATGAGCTAAAGAACGAAATCCAACGACTGAGTATAGATACAACTATGTTGGATAAATAGAAATGAATAAAAACAATAATGAATAATAAAATCGGAGATAATAGTTACGGAGATTTTTTCTCATACTACAAGTGAAAAATAAAATGAGAACAAGGAAAAGGTCAGTAACTGTTTCATGACTCTGATGGTAAATATTGGTAACATTAACGAAGATCGTGTTATACCATCAAGCAAACTACATCCCGACCTCCTCTTTAAATATGAAATGAAGTTAAATGACTTAATGAGATCGACATTCTTAAAGTGCAATTTGAAAAGTAGCGGTTACTTATACATATCAATGGTTTCCCGACTAGCTGACTAGTACTTACAAATAAACAAATAAGCGATTCTCAAACTAACAAGATTAAGATTTTTCATATTAGGAACATAATATCAATGTTGAAATAGGGCTAAATCATGTTCTTAAGCTTAGATTTTATCTGGTATAATCTGGTGATTGAAATATGTTGGAAATATATGAACAATATAGGAAGTTTACACGGATAGAGCAGATGTGTTAAGTAAATCCGATCGTCATTCATATCGGCATGCTCTTTCGGTTTAACTGAGGTAGGACAGATAGGAATACAAGGTGATTAGATCAAGACTAAAAGTTAATATTAATGAAAGCCTTTACTAAATAAAGAATTTTAGGCTTCTTGTTAGAACTGACGTTTAAACAAATAGTGGTTTCACAATTTACAAAATCTCCAACGTTACGATATATTTTGAAACTCTCATTGCATATTTTTAAGTGTTCCTTTCATCTTCCAACTACTGTTGGTATCAATAATTCCAAATTTATTCTTCTTGATGACTTTTCAATGCATATATATCATGATATAAAGTTCACGACGCAAGCCGTAACATGGAATCCTGAAGGAAAGAAGAAAGGAAGACCCAAGGACATATTACGTCGGGAATCGGAGGCAGACAACAAAAGAACGAATAGCAATCAGAAACAGCTGAAAAGGAGAACCCAGGACAAGGCTGGTCGGAGTATCCTGGTCGGCGACCAACGCTCCTCCATGAGGGGTTACAAACATAAGTAAATTGATATAAACTATGGCAAATTGGACAGATAAGATATTTATGTTGAGAACAATATGGATGCGTTCGCAAGCCTTTACAACAAATGGGTACTATTGCTCTTGAAGAATGTTATCTTTATTTATTCTCAAAAAGAATATTATAAGTGATAAAGAATCTGCTGAAATCAAAAATGGCTATAATAATGATTTTTGAGATGAATTAAATCTTGTTAGCGAAATTGCGTACCTCCATTGAATAAAACCAACGATTTCTGCAACTTCCAAAAATTTGAAAATTAATAATATACAGAGAGAGAGAGAGAAAGTCTAATCAGTCTTTTAATATCGAACCAATGTTGTGAATACTCTCTTTCTTTAAATCTTTATTATTGAAACCAAACACACCACATTATCATTTATAACCTAAGTGGCTTTACTGGAATAAAATACCACTGAAGATTGATGTTAGTAGATATTTTATGTTCATCTCACCCGTTGTAAGTATACTTAGCCGAAATTCACATAAATTACACAGTTTGTTTCAACTTTAATATGGATTCCATCTCTCTCACTTTCACATACACATACACATATTATCGACTTTTTTCCCTTCAATACAAAAGTGAAAAAAAAGTTAAGTGAAAATGCATAACCACTATGCAAGATTTCTTACCGTAGGTATCGACAAAGCAATCATTACAACACATGTAATAGCACTTGATCCAGTACAATCGGATACATAACCAGCGATAATTCCACCGAGTATCCCACCTAAATCAAAAACAGCTGATAAATCAGCTGATGATGATGGGTCGAAACCGCCTGCTTCACGTATATACATAGGTAACCAAAATAGGAAAGTATAAGAAACTAGCTTAGAGAAGAATAAAGTCAATGAATATTCAATAACACCCTGAAAGAGATAAAGTGAGAAAAAGCTTGTTGTAGAAAAAAGGATAAAATATAAAAACTACAAAGGTTATTTTAGATAAGAATGAATAGGTGGAACTTTGTAGACGATGCTACCGCAGATTATTATATACATTTTACCGGGTATTCATTAAATCTGATGTACAAGGTTTCACGTAATCTACTGGCTGTTAATATATCTTTTACCGTTGTTCACAGTGGCTGCTATACATTTTCGTACGACAAATGACCTAGGTAAATACATATTGTGACTTCCTATTTGTAGTGAGTTGTGGTTCTGTAATCGGTGAGTAAGAAATGTAAATCGGGCATGTTGTTCTGATAGTGTAGGTTGAGGACAGAAAGAATTCGCGTGGGCCACACCATGTAAGGATTTTTTTGGGGTACCTGTAAAGAAAACTGAATTAAATGACACAAAAACCTGGAAACGTGACGAAATAGCTCAAGGAACAGGTGCTTGAGACCGGAAACATACGATCTTTATATTGGGAATATTCTGTGTGTCAGCTACGTACATAGAAAGACCTAACCGCCAGGGACGGAAATGAATGGATTAAAATAGCTAGAACACATTTTACAAACAAGGTCTGGTAACAGATACAGTAGAACAGATATTGAGTTGAAAGCACATTAAGGAATATTTAGTACAAAAAACGAGTTCTCACGAAATATGTCACAGAACAAAAACTTAAACACAAAGAATAAGTTCTAACTTCAGAAACGGGATGACCTATAGTTTAGTCTTGAACGTATTTCAAAACACATACTACTGAAGAATCAGGACTCAGTAAAAAAGCACTCATGTATTGAGTTCCACAGTATTCAGAGGCTCTTCGACTGATATGACAAGTAGTATTATAAACACAATAATTAAACTATGAAACTTGAAGAGACAAGGAGAAAGTTTTACCAAAAAATAATATGTAGTTGTAATACATGACAAGGCCATTGCTTTTAGCTAAATACATCCTCACTACACACAAACTTACAGGTACTTTTAGTGCAGACAGAAATGATGAAGAGTTCTTTTTTGTTGGTATTAAAAGATTACATTGTGAACTAGTTGTTCCAAACGATTCCTAAAATGGTAAGCAATAACAAGAAAGCCGTACGATAGTGATCATCAATCGAAAAGAAGTCCGGAAGAAAGAAACACAGATGAGATATTACACAACACTAAGACAGAGCGAAAACTATTCTTTTAACAGACGACTAAAATAATGACGTAATACTTTGTTGGATTCATACACCCTGTACATTCAGTCAAACATTGTGATACTAGAAGAAATTAATAACGGGCAATGCGGTTCGCAACCGCAAATATCTATATCAAATTAAAGTCTTGTCGAGGTTCATATAATTCAGATGTAGTTTTCATCATGGATACCTGCTACAATCCTACTGGAAACTGATGAATAATTAGTATTCACTTTATCCAACCTTGAGACAACATCACAGTGTGTATTATCGACCGATACAGGGTCAAGTCAATCGGCTTCCAAGTCTCGTAATGACCACGATATTCTTGAGTCACCATATTAGAACTCAATGGCTCATAGTTTGTAACTCTTATCGATATGAGATAAGTTGTGAATATCGTTTAGCGTCATCCGATGAACATCCGTTTCACTCCACGCATGACTAATTTCATGGCTTCTAACTAGAGGTTCGTAGACGTTCTCATTTGAGCCATCAATAGTTACCACAAAATATTTAGATTTACAAAGGTTGACAACTTAAACAATCTTAACTAGTTTTTATTATGATGATGGCATTTCTCTCTTGGTGAGAACATCTACCTTGTGTGTGTGTGTCTGTGTGGTAACGAGAAAACAAAAAGTATACTAAACCAAAATAATCGGATCCCAACTAATATTTATTCAATCATTAGTATTAAAAATGTACAATCTATGGATTGGTAGTAGGAACTAATAAGAAATAAATTGATTTTAGAACGATATCATATCAAAAAGTACTTAAAACGGATCCCAATAGTACGAACCCTTATCTATTTTTTGTCTTACTATCTATTCGTGTGAGCTAAGGTGTCTTAAACAGTGAATTTTGTTGATCAAACTACCCTATTTTTGGCCACTAGTTCGCTATTTAAAAACCCTCAAACAGTCAGGTGATAAAACTCCATTTAGCGAACCTAAAGAGCTCGTGACAGTGTCCAGCATGGGTAACAGAGGACGGTTAGGTGTAGGGTTAGTAACCATGCTTAAAACAAGATGTAGGTACATGAAATACTTCCTGCCATTGAAGAATATTTGGAACTCTACAGAACTGTCATTCAAGATCAAAGCCAGAATTTCCAACGTGTCAAAGCGTCAAAACAGAATTATTAAACGGAGCCTAGAAATAGAGGACTACTACAACTTTTCTAAGTAAGGTACATATATTTATAAATAGCCTTCTGCCCACAATACATCAGATCCGTTAGTCAGAGCCCATCAATAATAACCAACTATTTCAGATAACAATCAAACTACCGGTTGAAGAGAAAATGGGGAAAAGATGTTGGAGGTGGGTCGAACACGGATAATGGAAACCTCTCATCAACATCATGAGACAAGCTCTAAACTGAAATCCTCAGCTGAACAGAAAAGCCCATGACAAGGTTGGTTGGAGATCATTGGTACGGCCAAGAGTGGGGAGAGTCCGTTCTTCCACTCCAAATGCTCCAACATGGCTACGCGTATATAGCCTCTGCCAGGGAAGTCCTACTCACTGCATTCTCGTGACATTACTGTTGTTTACGAAATCAACAGGACAAAAAGCGAATGTCCGGCGCTTTAACCGGGCCGGTGGACACGGTGAGTCCACCTAGGGGAGTTGGAAAACCCTCATTCCAAACCAATGGTGCACGTGGGCTCCAGTATCCTGAAGGAACAAATGGCATATGGACCTAAGGTTGGTCACCGGCTTCCATCGGACTGCATCTCCTCACGATACTCCACTGTCTTATAGATCAGACCTTCAGGCCGAAGGCTCCGAGTGTGGCCCGCTAAGAAAACCACCTGCTTCGGTTTGGGCACCCGGGCAGTATCACAGCCTTCACACATATCAAGTGAGATTGTGTTGCACATATGTATTTGGTGCCTCCTTGTACCAATATCTATGTGTTAAAATAAATAAATTGGTTGGAAGCATATGTCCCAAGGGCATTACCAGGCTGTGATGATTAGAAGTATTCGAATTAATTTACTAACTAGGAATTCCCGAAATAGTGCAATTTAGGACAGGTACAATTAGATGAGCACAAGTAAACGTACTATATCTGGAATTCGGACAATCAAGTACGAAGGAATCATTGAATGACACGACTCAAAATCGTTTACCGTGTTGTAAGTGCACTCACCCTTTGTCGTCCCTGAAATCCTGAGCTTTTGAATTCTCTATAACTTTTTTGTTTCACTAATTTATATTTTCTCGAATCGTATCTTTGATGTCTAATCTTTTCTATCACCATTCATATTATTATTACCTCTAATATTCTGGGATTTACCTCGATAATTTCATCTCTCTGTGCTTATGGGGTATGACACCTTGAACCCACATACATAACTGTCAGGTTTTACGTTGTGATGACGAAGACCCTCTTTACCCTCGAGTTTTGTCGGCAAAGATAGTAAATCGTTTGCTAAGATTATGAATCTGAATTAACTGAGGTGGTTAAGACGTGTATTACTTATCAACAACGAACGCTCGGTTTCCTTGTGTAGGTCTAGATTAGAAGAAAGCTAAGAGTGGACAAACCAAAACATGGTGTCAGTTTATGAAGTCATCAATATTTGGTTTGAGCCGTGTTGGTTTCAAACTATTTCCTAAGAATGGATGAGGTTATCATATTTATGGGTGGTGACCGACTGACGAGTTCTATGAGGTCAATCTCTTACAAAGTATGCTGCAAAGTAAACATTTCTGTTTGATGTGTTAATTAAGACTCTATTTTTATGTTGATAATAAATTGGTAAATGTGGTTTTAAAAACTCAAGCTAGCATCTACTATAAGCAATAATAAATTCCAACTTGAGCAACAATATTTAAAATAAAGTGAATTCATTTGCTTGATACAATGAAAACTAAGTCGACAGAAAGAAAACAACAAAATTAGAAAACTTGTGTCAGTATATATAGTAAAGGTTATTGTTTTCACGTGTAATACATAATCCCACCTAACAATGAGTAATGCTGTTTTTGCCGTAAAATAAAGGCTAAGTGACGATTATATATACATATGTATCGACAAAAAATGGTCATGATCCACTTAGTAGTATCCTGAGAATCGCAGAGATTATATGAAACTATTATCATTATATAATTTAAGAAAAAACTTGTAAAGTATTTACTTCTACGAAGTTCAATATACAAAAACCGACTAAAATTAGTATAAAGAAAAGATCGGATTCTACTCATTTGTTAGATGATATAGAACAATTTCGTCCTATTGGAATGCAATTGCTAAGCGTAAACAGTAGGCCATAGAATCATTTGAGTGCAAAGAAGAATCAATATGACAATTTTTAATGTACAGACAGTTGAGATGGTTGGAACATGTGTTATGTATGCCCAAACACCGACTGCATCGACATGCGGTGTTTTATAGTGTAGGTGTAGGTTGGGAGAAATCTAGGGGCGGCCAGACCAAAACATGGCACAAATCCATGAAGCCACTGACAAGTGGACTGAGCCACGTTGGTAGGTGTAAACTACCTGGTTGGGATGCGCGAGATGATAGTAACCGATGTTTAGATACGTTGAGTGACATGCATCAAAATTGTTTGCAATGGCGCAGGTGCATATACTCATTGTGTTCTCCCAAATTCTAATCTTTTGAATTCTTCATCTCCCTTTCTTTTTTCTCTTTCCAAATTTATTTCACTGGATTATACTCATTGAATAACATCTTCAAACCCTAATCTTTCCGATTACTGCTTATACTTTTACTACCTCTAGTACTATGGGATTTGAATCGACAACTGCGTCTCTTTACTAATGTGGTATGGCAACTCGAACTGATATACGTACGTACGTACGAAGTTCTACGTTGGCGCCGACTGGCTGATAGACAAAACCCAATGTACACGAATTAGCCTGGCTACTAATGATACATTACAGACCCTTCTTTATTTAAATAATAGATATGCCTAATCGTCGTTTTGAACATCGAGTACGAGTAACAATGTGGCCGTCAAATATAATAAGAATTCTCTAGTACGGAATTTGGATAACCTATATATAAATACTTTTGAATGCTTAAGCATGTTATTTACTTGATTAAGCAAGTTTACTTTTTACAGGCGAAGTGCAAAACAGGTAGACTCACTTCAAATGAGTTTCCATCTCTGATTTGTTGGTTAATGGAACCATAATCCTGTAAAATGTACACAACAGTACAAGATAATACGATACGCAAAAGCAGAATTTACTAATTTGATAAAAAAATCGCTAGCAAGATAAACTGTAACTCGGTTGCCAAATACAGGTTTATTCATCAACTGACCTTGAGTAACGGTCGTGTCAAGAATAGTAATATTACCCGAATGCCCAAGCAGTAGTTGCAATGCAGTTCGAATCTGTGACCCGATGGATGAAAGCTAGGCAGTCTAATCATTAAACCATCACTGCATGGTTAAGAAGGTGATAGTCCGTCCGTCCGATATTTCGGATCGATATGAGGTGGTCAAAGGACAAATTAAAACTTGACTTTTAAAAAAGCCCCACACACAATTAATTAGAACTGAACGGACAGATAGCATGTTTATGTTTCCAGTCCCTATAATACCATACCCATACGAAATAAACGAGGCTATAATGGTTATCGATTCTCTTACTACGACCCAGATACTCTTATTGCTTAGTAATCTTGGACACTAATTCACTCGACAAGTCCCAAATCAGAACACGGTTGAACAAGAACATAATTTTATCTAAAATAACGAGGTTGGATGGAAGTAAGAATCACAATAAGAAAAATGTTAGTATATTTATATTTATACATAAGATTTTAGAGTTCTCTCCAACTATTCGCCACCGCTGAGTGGTTAAGAAGTAGCCAATCAACGTGCCCCAACACAATCTTGCACGGAACGTGCTCTAATCCAATCTACATCCCGCTAATAATAATTGACAGGCATCATGAACTATTGGTACTAAATGATAATCATAGATCATTAAACATGCAATATATTTAACAATTCGTAGGTAAGTCAACATCTTAGTCCTTATGACAAAAATAATAACATCGAAACCATATATGTTAACCAACGTAAAATTACAGTGGTATGTATGTGTTCACCCACCCTTGATTGCAAATCACGATTGCTCCTCCCTATGTACGTGTCCTGCACATACATGTAAATTGATAAACGGAGAGTTAAATTAGCCATCCACCGGACATTTTATGCAGCCCAATTCGTCATTATTGAAAAGACAAGGTGCATGTTTCATCAAAAGCCCAAACAGCACGTAAGCGGTTGTGTCACATTCCATGGATGGATAGACACAAAGACTGTATTCATTGAAGTTATATATAGCAAGACTTCAATGAAAACAGTCTTTGTGCCTATCCATCCATGGAATGTGACACAACCGCTTACGTGCTGTTTGGGCTTTTGATGAAACATGCACCTTGTCTTTTCAATAATGACGAATTGGGCTGCATAAAATGTCCGGTGGATGGCTAATTTAACTCTCCGTTTATCAATTTACATGTATGTGTAGGACACGTACATAGGGAGGAGCAATCGTGATTTGCAATCAAGGGTGGGTGAACACATGCCAAAATGGTTGCAGGAACAAATGAATTCCAATGGTCACAGGATAGACAGATATCATCCTCCATTACGAAACATTTGATTGAGACTGGTCATAAGGTTGACATCAAGTCAGCATTTGTAGTGTTGTACAAAAGCCTTCAAGGACGTATGCTAAGGTTTATTGAAGCCTTAGCTATACGAAAACTGAAACCCCTTTCATGCGTTCGAAAAATATTTGTCCTTACCCTTAACCTACCCTGATAATACTGATTTATTATCCAGAGTGGTTATCACATTTTTGTGTACCAGTACCAGAATTCAAACGACTATTACTCATTTGTACAAAAGATGTTCAGTTCCGCCCCCCTGAATGCCCTGGTACGGCCGAGAGTGGGGAGAGTCCGCTCTCCCTCTCGAAATACTCTCACACGGCCACGCGTATACAGCCTCTGCCGGGGAAGTCCTACTCATTGCCTTCTCGTGGCGGGGGTGTTGTCTACGAAAATGAGAGGACGAAAAGCGAATGTCCGGCGCTTTAACCGGATTCCAAATCAATGGTGCACATGGGCTCCAGTATCCTGCGGGAACGAATGGCGTATGAACCAATCGTTGGTCACCGGCTACCATGGGACTGCATCTCCTTACGATGCTCCACTGCCTTGTGGGTTAGACCTTTAGGTCAAAGGCTCGGGGAGTGGCCCCCTAAGATAACCACCTGCTTCGGTTTGGGCACCCGGGCAGTATCACAGCCCACACACAAATTGATGAACTCTTTATGCCTATGGAAATTACCTTTCTCGCTTTGAAAAACAAACAATTGATTCAGATTATTATCATTACAATTATTGTCATTATTAATACTAATATTATTATTACTACTATTATTGTCATTATTGTTATTATTATCATTATTATTATTATTCTCCACATTATTCACCCTCTTTTATACCTATACAGCGGCTCGTCTTTGGTGGAAATCCGACTGTATCTAAACGTTCTCGAGTCACTGTCCGGTTGAAAATTGTATGTTACCACCGAATACGAGGACTGAAGCAGATTTTCTGAAACCACGTGCACCATTCAAACTGGGTGCCTTCAACGTTCGCACATTTATGCAGGTCGGACAACAGATAGGGCTGGCTATGTCTTTGGAAAGTCTTAATATCGACGTGTGTTGTCTATCCGAGACCCGTATTCAAGACTCGGGCGAAGTACTACAAATTCGATCTCCATCTGTCGCTTCGAAAAGCTTGTTTTACGTGCGCTTATCCGGGGACCCTGTGGCATCTTCGTCCAGTCTTGCTGGCGTTGGTGTCGCACTAAGCGCTAGAGCTGAGGCAGCACTAGTCGATTGGATCCCCATTAACAGTCGGTTATGTGCTGTTAGATTAGAAAGTTCCATCAAAGTGAGAAGAAATCGGCGTGAGAAACGATGTCTTTTCGTCATCTCCGCCTATGCCCCGACAGATTGCAGCCCGGATGCAATCAAGGATGAGTTTTACCACCAGTTATCAGTTCTTCTCCAGAAAGTGCGTTCGACAGATATTGTAGTACTAGCCGGAGACTTGAATGCTCAGGTCGGGCGTCTAGGCACAGAAGAGAGTCGTTTAGGTGGCCGATGGGGACTCGCGATCAGCTACCGCTGGCGTGGTTGTGTACAAGACTGCCGCTCCTTTTGGAGTACCTATCTGGACTCTGACCATGCCTTGGTCTGCGCCAATCTTGCCTTACTTTTCAGTGGACAACGAAGTGAACGCCATCAACGGATTGATGTTAGCAAGCTGGTTGCAACTTCTGTTGCAAGTAAGTATCGAACCGAGCTAGCCTCTAGGCTAGCTACCACTCCACCGAAAAGTATAGATGAGCATTGGTTGCAATTACATGACGCCATGAAAATGGCGGGAACAGTCAGTTGTGGGTTTGCGAAACGTCCCGCTTTTAAGCACTGGGTTTCTCCTGGTTCCTTACAACTCATTGAAGCCCGTCGGTCTACTCCGGGTGACCGTGAGTTTGACCATAAACGAAGGATGTTACGTAAGGAAATTGGGCAAAGCTTGCGTAAGGACCGAGAAGCCTGGTGGTCGATGCGTGCTAATGAGCTGGAAGCAGCAGCTGCATCTGGTAACAAACTGAAGCTCTTCCAACTCATCCGAGCCACTGGCAGCAAGAAGTCTGGTGTGAGTGAAACAATCTGCGAGGATGATGGGATGCCAATCACTAACATCCATCGACGTCTTGGACGATGGGCAGAATTTTTCGAAGGGCAGTTCAACTGGCCTGCTGCTCCGGCAACATCGGTCAGACTGTCCTGCCCTCCATGGCCGGTGACGACTGATCCACCAAATGAGGAGGAAGTCCGCAAGGAACTCCAACTCTTGAAGCGTTACAAATCACCTGGCCCAGATGACTTACCTCCGGCTCTTTTTAAAGATGGTGGTGACTTTTTGACTAAGGAATTGACGACGTTGTTTACAAAGGTTTGGGAACTAGAGAGTGTACCAACGTCATGGAATGAGTCGATAGTTGTCCCTATCTTTAAAAAGGGTTCACGTCGTTCTTGTAACAACTATCGGGGGATAAATTTACTTCCGATTGCGTCCAAGCTATTGGCTTCCGTCATTCTTCGTAGGTTGTTCAAAACCCGAGAAAGATTGACTCGTGAGGAGCAGGCTGGGTTTCGTTCTGGTCGAGGATGTATTGATCATATCTTCACCCTCCGCCAAATGTTAGAACACCGCCATACTTTTCAAAGGCCAACAATCGTAGTGTTTCTTGACATCAGGGCTGCCTTCGATTCGTTGGATAGGACTGTTCTCTGGGATTGTCTATTGAAGAAGGGTGTGCCTGAGAAGTTTATTAACATCCTAAAAGCCCTGTATAAAAACACCTCAGGCAGAGTGAGGGCATACAACCACCTCTCTCCATTGTTCCATTCGAGCAGTGGGGTTAGGCAGGGTTGCCCAATCTCACCATTCCTCTTCAACTTTGCCATCGATGACATTCTGGAAACAGCTCTGATGAATGTAAGTAATGGTGGTGTGGATCTGTTGCCTGGAGAAAGACTTCTCGACCTTGAGTATGCGGACGATATTGTCTTACTGTGCGATAATGCCCAAGGCATGCAATCCGCACTTAATCAGTTGGCAATCAGTGTCCGTAGGTATGGTATGTGCTTTGCACCTTCGAAGTGCAAAGTACTTCTACAAGACTGGCAGGATTCTAATCCTGTACTCACCCTGGACGGTGAGCAGATAGACGTAGTTGAGAAGTTCGTGTATCTGGGTAGCTGCATAAGTGCTGGTGGGGGTGTGAGTGATGAGATCAATGCACGAATAGTGAAAGCCAGAGCGGCTTATGCCAATCTGGGCCACCTTTGGCGCCTTCGTGATGTTAGTCTGGCTGTAAAAGGTCGGATCTACAACGCGTCGGTGAGAGCAGTTTTGCTCTATGCTTGTGAAACCTGGCCTCTCCGAGTTGAGGACGTTAGACGACTCTGTGTTCGATCATCGCTGTCTCCGAAGGATTGCTGACATTCAGTGGCAACACCATGTCAGTAATGCAGAGGTTCGGCATCGTGTGTTCGGGCACAGAGATGATAATGCAATCGGTGTCACCATCTTGAAACACCGACTTTGGTGGCTTGGACATGTTCTACGAATGTCGTCCCAGAGAATTCCACGTCGTGCATTATTTGCCAACTCTGAGACTGGTTGGAAGAAGCGGAGAGGTGGTCAGTGTATGACATGGTGTCGTGGCATGAAAGAAAGCTGCAAAGGACTGGCTTGTGTTGGTCCTTCACAACTCCCTGGTTGGGGTCCGAGAGATGGTGCTACACAGTGGCTAGAGACGTTATCAGATATGGCTCAGAATAGAAGCCAGTGGCGATCCTGCTGTAACCTTCTTTTACTTTCTTCATAAAAAGTGGTTGTGTCTCCTTTACCTGAAAGATTTCTTCTGATTGTGCCTTTTCGTTCCGTCGTTACTACCACACTACCTTACACCAATCTCTTCGTCATTGTTCTCTTTCTCTTTTGCGTTCCTTAGTTGTTTTTTTTCTCTTTCTACTTCTCTTCGAATTCCCATTGTTTTGTGTGGCGCATATATATTGGCGCTCTCTTGTACCAATATTTATGTGTTCAAATAAATAAATAAATGTTCAGTTCCAGTTCAACGATATCATATACAAACAAACCGATGGTGTAGCGATGGGAAGTCCGTTAGGTCCTGTCCTAGCAGATATTTTCATGGCTAACCTCGAAAGAACCAAACTCAAACGAGCGATTGATGAAATGACGTATTATTCGAGATATGTTGATGATACCTTCATCGTATGTAATAATAAACAACATGCAATAAATCTGCTAGAGTTTTTCAACGAAGCACATCCGAATATCCATTTCACTATGGAACATGAAAAAGAAAACAAGTTCCATTTTCTCGATATCGCGATGAAAAGAAGAAAAGATGGTACAGTTCAACGTTCAGTTTATAAGAAAGACACATGGAATGGTAGTTATCTTAATTTCAATAGCTTTTGTCCAATCAGTTACAAAAAGGCACTAGTCAAAACACTGTTTTACAGAACAGAAAGAATATGTACTTCCGATACACTAGAAGAGGAAGTTATGAATGTTAAAAAATGTTTAAAGAATAAAGGATACCCGCTGAAATTTATTGAGAAATACGGCAAATGTGAAGTTAAAAAGCCTATTTTTATTAAACTTCAATTCAAAGGTGACGATGTCACAGGATCAATCAATATGAGATTAAAAACTGCACTGACAAGAACTTATCCTGCAGCGAAATTGATTGTCCTGTCCAAAACAACATGCTCTTTGACACAATCAAAGGTCGACAGGTATCCCTTTCATGTTACCACCAACTGTGTATACAAATTTACATGTACCTGCCAAAGCAGTTACATTGGTAGAACAGAAAGGAGAGCCTACGTCCGATTCAAAGAACATATTCCGAAAAGTTTAAGGTTAAATGGATTGAACACATTCAACAGTGCTATCGCAAGACATCTCCTTGATACAGGACATAAAGCTGATATACTGAAGTCCTTCAAGGTGATTAACAAACAATCAAACTCGAACCTTTTGAAATTCGCTGAAGCGTTAGCAATCAAACGCTTAAAACCAGATCTATGTATACAAAAAGAGACAGTAATAAATCTTTCTTTACCCTGGTAACAATAAACCCCCTTTTTTCATTTATTTCTCTATTTATTTATTGCGTCATTACTCCAACTCTTTTAAATTACATCATACATAAATGATTGATTTCAATTCATATTTTCTTTATTACCATTAATCTATTTCCATGAGTTCTAATCACTATTTTAATGTTCCAGAACTTTCCCTCTCAAACTTTATTTATTTATTCGAATCAAACATTTTATGAGCTCATTAACTCTATCTGAATCTTCGCTACATCATCATACACATGTATTGATCCTTAATCACACTCTTATGTATAAATATGTCAATATCTGTAATAATGTTGAATTTCAAATAATTTAGGTTGTAAGCAGCTGATGAGAACCTAACGAAATAAAATGAATTCATATTATTCTGCACCAATCTTTGTTCTTGCTCTATTTATTATTTTGTTGTTGTCACGGCTTACCTTTAACCTATCTAGTTGACCTTATAATTTTCACATAAAAATGTCATAACAAGTATATATGTGATCAGATTGTTCGAAATGTATTGCGCAAATATATCACATAATTCTGATAAGCTTCGTCTTCTCATTGCATTATCGAAATGCTCGAAATGACAATCCAAAACACTTAATATAGTTCAAATAATTTTGATAATTATTGTCATGATCTTATGCGAAAACTTTACTCATAATGATATGATACGAAGTTCTACGTTGTTGCCGACTGACTGACTTACTACATATAACCATTAACTCTATAGAAGTATAGGGCGAATATGTTTGCAAAACCACAGCCTAAATAAAACCAAATCATTTAATTTCCTGTTTAAATTGATTCAACGTTGATCAAGTAGGGTGGTGTCCTTAATATAAACGTGATTATGTGTACAAATTTACTCTATGTAATGATTCAATAAATACGTAAGTGATTAGATCCATATTTGACTATTTCCATATATTTTTCTAGGTAATTTTGATTCCATTATACATTAAAAATTTAATTGACTGTAGCCAAACTGATGGGGCTTCAAGTTTGCACTAACTGAATTAGCCTGGATATGATGTTTTACATATCGAATTATTTGAACACATAAATATTGGTACAAAGAGACACCGTATACATATGTGCCACACAAGTCACTTCATTTGTGTGTGGGCTGTGAGAATGCCCGGGTACCCAGACTGAAGCAGGTGGCTTTCTCAGGGGAATATACACGGAGCCATCGACCCAACGGTCTGATCAACAAAGCAACGTTAAGATAGGTAGTTTAATGGTAACCGGTGAACAACAGTGAGTCATCCGTTGTCTCAGAATCCTAGAGGCCCGACGCACCACTGGTTTGGAATCAAAGTTTTCCAACTCCCCTAGGTGGATCCTCCATATCTACCAACCCAGTAAAAGCGCCGGATATTCGCTTTTCTTCCTTTGAATTTCGTAAACAACACCCCTGCCGCGAGAAGGATTTCCCTGACAGTGGCTGTATACGCGTGGCCATGCGAGAGCATTTCGAGAGGGAGAGCGGACTCTCCCCACCCTCGGCCGTACCAGGCCGTCTAGGGGCTAAATATCAAACCATATCTTAAAACTAGTAACACTGATTGACGTACAATCAAATTGGGAAATTGTTAAGGAGTTAGTCAACAGGAAACCCTGGACCCGGGTTTCGTGCTACTTGGCACTCGTCAGCAAGGTGTACCTGTAATCTTGAGGGAACTGGTGCTCCCTGGCGGATTCGATCTCGTGTCACCCAGCTTCACAGTCAGAGACGTTACCACTGAGCTATCCGAGCCGTGACTAACCTCCTGTAGGACTGAGATGTAATCACAATTGATTGATCACTGGGTGGTGATCAATCTCATGCTTGTCTAGTCCTTATTAGTGCAGATCGAATGCTATCGATCATGTTGCAATGTGGCCACCAGTCTAGGTGACTCGACACTGCGGGCACTATGTAATGAGATTAGATGGTAGTTGGAGGTAGTCAACAGGAAACCTTCACAGGATGAATGGAGTAACTGTTTGAATGACTCCGCTTTCAATAAGGCTTGAAACGTCACTCTACTTTGAGTTTAAGGAGCAAGGTATTATTATCGTTAGCTCTCAAAGACTGTTGCCTCCCGATAAGAATAATGAGTGGTAATTTTTTGGGATCTATTTATGGACCAATACTGTGAGTATAATTGTTAAATAACTTAACTATTCATATTCATGTCTCTCTTATCATAAGCTTTATTTTAACCTATGAACTGTTATTATACGATTTTCCATTCTTGAATTATTCCCTGTCTATTAATCACTACCTCCCACATTCACAGCCACATTTGGCCAAATCTTGTACAATTGTTGTTTTCTATTTTATGATACGTTGTGGTCTGCTTGATTGGTATATAAACAGAGTATGTTTGAAATATATGATTCATATCGCAGAGGCTTAGACTTGTGTTCTGGACTTAACTGGCTGGGCTAGGCGGGAAGCAGGACCAATCAGAACTCTAGGTTGCTCGCACGTGTTTTACACGCCTTAGTCCGATCGGTAATTTGCTGCTTCTGATTGGCGGCTTTGGGCTATAACACAGACATACACGCGGCTTGCCACAAACCCGACTAAATAGATCTAAAATTAGTAAAAGGATTACATTTACTATAAAATGCTCTTCATGATTAGTGAAACACTTTATTAAGAACATTTTAATACACAATGAAAAAAACATTTGTAACTTTCTATTATCACTTTAAACGGTTAAGTGCAAGTTACTGTACATTGGAAGTTCAAAACTTTTTAAAAAAAAAGACATTTTTCAAATATATTTAAAGTGCTTAAACATACATTTGCGTTATGCTGGACAGGAAGTTGAACTTCAACACATTCAGGATCTAAATATAAAAGAATATATGTATGATATGACTCCAATTAATATTTGGATAGTGCGGATCATAGCACCGAGTACACGAGTTTATACTTGGTAAATTTGTACGATAGTGAAAGTATATGTAATTAACCACTGAGCATAGGCAAATAGGCACTCAACTTACAAATAAACGAACAAAATCTCGAACTATTTTTCTAGTCGATAGGGGATGAACAAGTGATATGGCCTACACAAACCGTAAACACTGTTTTTATCTATTACCGATGACATGAAATTGAGAAACAAAAATTAACTGGTCTTCTTTGAGATAACACTGAGACCTAACTGGGAATTAGATTACACGTCAATATAAACAAAGTTGGTCAGAATCAGGGCCACTGTATAGTGTTGTGTAATTTAAAGCATTAGCCTCACGTGAATAACACAGTTATCTTACATGACTAACTTAATAGCAGTTAGCGTAACTCACATGCTACCTTACCAATTCTATACCTATTTTCCTTGTCCTAATTCCGCTATAAAGACGGTCTATTGGTTTAAAGACTGTCATTTTGAGGTGTATTAACAAGTCAGTATTTGAAGACGATATGAGTAACGTGGAATAAAATTTACACAACGATTCTTGAACACTATTTAAGAACTCGTACTTTTTCTTGCATCTTGTTAAGAACTGTGATCACCTGAGCAGAAGGAGTACTAAGTGATTTCTTACATCGTTTATTGTGGGTCCCTAAATCCAGTGATTCAGACTTCATTGGGATAAACAATAGAATGCATACGTTGTTAACCGATTAAAACGGATGCTTGGAGTTAATTTCCCAAAGTTTATGGAGTCATCAGTCGCCGGTGATAAGCAAGGTTTTTCTTATCTACCATATCCACAATTCACAAATATAAAGATTGCGATATTCTAATTTACTTCGCTATTATCCAGACTCGCAAATCGTATCATCAAAATTAGAATAAATCAAATCGATCTGGTGATTGTTTACAGTTCATCTATTTAGATAACAGTATCCTAAAAAGTAATTTGCGACGAAGTTAGTACCAATTCATGTCAAACCGAATTTCAAGAACAAAAACACGATTATGTAACTCATACCTTGAACCCCACTAGATTTTAAAAAATGTATAATACGAAAACAAAACAAAAACCTATGTAAATGATAAAAAGCGACCAAGAGTAAGAATACTGGTGAATTCAATATGATGATCATTCAGTTTAGCATCCGGATAAATTTCGACAAATTCAGTTACTAATGTTGTGGTCAGGATGGAAGCAAAGCATACAAACGATCTTAAATCACTTTTTTAGCCAACGACAACACAATGTTTGGTTACGAATTGATTCATGATTAAAAAGGTAATATGATTATAATAGATTCAGCAACAAGAATAAATATTTATATATGAATCACTAAGATTTTTATTCCGAACTGATATCAATCATAATCCAAGAATAAATTCCGCTAAGTTAATATTTAAATGCAAATAGTAATTACTGAAAAGGAAATCTATACATCAACAGTAGCATTCCTCCGTCAAGTGTATTTTACTGCAGTCGCATGTCAAACTTTGTCTTTTTGAATTGTGGACGCATAGCGTTGTTGGGTTAACTCAATCCGATCAATTTGCATTTACTGAGCTAACCCTTTCCATCACTATTGTGTCGATATTTCCGAAGTGCGTAGCGAGTTTTCAACAATAAAACACATCACACAAAGGCTCAAATCGAGTATTAAAAAACAAAGTAAACTTACAGGGTACAAGAAACAGATAAATTGGTAAGCTGAGAAGTCCAATTATTAATCCTGGAATAACAAATGACCATCCCCAAGCTATTTCTACAAAGGCACCAGCAACTAAGGAGCCCAAAATGTTTCCAATGCTAGAATGCGCTGTCCAAACTCCCATAAAAAATCCTCTCCTGAAAATTAAGGTAAAAATGAATGGAAGTTATACTGTAGTGAACAGAACACGGGTGGGGACAATCGGATGTATTTAACACAAAATTACAGGACTTGTTAATAAAATCGAACAATCATAAAGTAAATACTTAATTTGCAAAATGTCCACCAATTGTCTCAAAATGACTCAGACTTCATTGTTCTTGCATTTTCATACAAATTGCATCCTGTTTCCATTCTTCAATGTTCGATCCTCTTGTCTCTTTGCTGCTAGACCTTCCATTCACAACCAACATCATATAAGTAGCACACACCACGATACTACTAACTTCCATAATCTCAGATAGAAATACCCTAGGATCTAGCATAAAAGCATATCAGTTCATTTCCGACACTAAGCACCAATCAATCGACAAGTATGAAGAAAGTGGTGCCCGAAATAATAATAATAATAATAATAATAATAACAATAGTAATGGTAATAATAACAATAATGGTAGCAGTAATAATGATAACAGTAACAACAATAATAGTAGTAGTAACAATAACGGTAATAATAATAATAGTAATGATGATGATAATAATAAAAATAGTAATAGTAGCAACAGCAATAGCAACGATAGCAGTAATAGTAATAATGATAATCATAATAATAAATAACCCAAATAAAAAACGCTAAGACTAAATACTACACCTATGATCTAAACCAATAAAAAGTAGATGGGTCTGAACTATTTAGGTTACTTATGCATCTCGATAATGCAATGAGAAGACGTAGTTTACCATAATTCTGATAAACTACGTCTTCTCATTGCATTATCGAAATTTATCAAAGGGACTAATTGTTTTAAATTACTTATGCATCGTTTCATATAATATCTCTAACTAATAATTTTGTTGTCACCAATCAAGAAGCTTATACAACCCCTGAATGGTACACACCAAGGGGTGGTGACCAAATAGAATGATGATAGCAAGTCTTCGTTTTCCCAAGGTTAGACATTTCCCAATACATTACTGTACCGGCTAACATAACACGCTTAATTAAAGCATTCATCACGTTTCTCTTATTCCTACCGATTAACTGGATGAAGAATAAAGTCTAATTTGAGGATCCCAATCTATGTGACTATCAAAAAGTGATGGTAATACATTTTAACAATAATAGATTGCATAGTAATCGCACATAGCATTAGTTATGGTGGAGTTTTGTTCTCTAAGCTGGATGGTTTGGTCGTGGAGCTTTCATCGTTCTTCTGAACGACATCATCAGCACAAACTTCAGATATAAGTCTGAAGTTTGTGCTGATGATGTCGTTCAGAAGAACGATGAAAGCTCCACGACCAAACCATCCAGCTTAGAGAACAAAACTTTACCAAAATCATCCACCTGAGCTACAAATCTTCTCCACCATCTCAAAATAGCATTAGTTACCTTATAATAAATGCTGTTGTTATACTAATAATAATGTGGTTCAAATAACAAGTAAAGTTTTACAAACTCAACTTCAAGCCACATTGCTGTCGAAAACGAAGTAGGTAAAGCAAGAGTTGAACCTATGACCTACAGTTTGAAAACCCCATACTTTATAACATAAAGTCACCACTACCTCACTTATTTTGGTAAAAGGGATTATAGTCCCTCAGAGAATGAATAAACCTGTATCCTGAAATAAAAGTAGACAGCTGTTTAATTATAGCTGACTTTTTTATTGTATCCTGCGATGATAAACAGCTGAACGTAGAATGAAGTAACAATAATAATCTGAATAGCTAAAAGAAAACACTGGTTGTTTTATGTGTTGGATTTTGAAATCCATTTCGGTACGGATTCATGTCTGTGGCTTCGAGTTCCACTCTAAGTGTGAGGGGCAACAATACTAACCGATTCCCCAGACCCAAGTAAGTCCAGCTGGATTTGGACGAATACCTTGGCTATAGTTGAATGCCTTAACCGTTGTTCCAATTTACAATGATAAATATACCCTGTAAAAGGATAATTTTAAATATGTGATGTGCAGTAATGAAAGTAAGACAGGAATGACCATTGACAATGGACTAAGACACTAATTACTGAATATGATTACCTTCATATTACTGGTTTCTACTCTGGACTCACCAATTGACTGCTTGTGATTGCGTTGAATAAGGTATTGTCTGGTGTATTAACCGGATTTTCTATTATAATCGCGAATCAGATATTTGGTATAAGGTGATCAAGTTTGTGTATATATAGTATTATTATTACTATTTGAAAACAAATATTGGTACAAAAAGGGATCAAAATAAACATGAACCACATAATAAGAAAATAAGATTGTGAAGGGATAAAGGAAGGAAGGTGAGCGTAATAAAAAACACAAAATAAATAAGTGAATGGAAGTAAGAAAAATAAGACTAATGAGAGCAGTTTAGTTAAGAAAAATACAACCAGAAGGGATTCTTTCAGTCAAATAAGTTCCTCTTACATATATAAAGAAAGTTATAGCAGAAACGCCACTGACTTCTATTCCAAGCCATATCCGAAAACATCCCAAACCAGTGTCGCATTATCTCCAGGACCGCAACTAGAGCCGTGAAAGACCAAAGATGCTAGTCCCGTACAGCTTTCATACACGGAACACTCTTCCGCCTTTTCCAAACATTTCCAGTGACGGCAAATAATCCACGATGTGGAATTCTCTGGGATGATAATCGTAGTGCACGTTCAAGCCACCGAAGTCGATCTTTCAAGATGGTGATACTAATTGAGTTGTCGTCACCGTGAACGAACACACGTCGCCGAACTTCCGCATAACTAACATGGTGTTACCACTGAAAGTCAGAAATCCTTTAGAGATAGTAATTATCAAACGCAGAGTTCCTTAACATCCTCAACCCGGACAGGCACGTTTTCCTTAAGATGTTAATAAATCTCTTACGCACACCCTTCTTGGAAAGACAACCCCAGAGGACAGTTCAGTCCAACGAATCGAAAGCCGCCTTGATATCAAGAAAAACCGGAATTGTTGGCCTGCAATAAGTATGGCAGTGTTCTAAAATTTGGCGGAGAGTGAAGATATGATCAATACATTCTCGATCAGGACAAAAACCACCATGCTGTTTGTGAATTAACCTTACATTGGTTTTGAATGATCTACAAAGTATGACGGAAGCCAATAAATAAGAGTCCAAAATCGAAAGTAGACTTACCCCCACTAGTTGTTGCATAGTTGACGTAAACCTTTTTTAAAGATAGGGACGACAGTTGTCCCATTCCAGAATTTCGTGACATATTCTGGCTCCAAAACCTTTGCAAATAACCCAGTTTCTTAACCAGAAGTTTGCCATCATCCTTAAAAATGGTCGGACGCAAATCATCTGAGTCTGGCAATTCATAGTGCTTCCAGGAGTTGAAGTTACGTGTGGACTTCCGCCTCCTTAGGTGAATTAGTTGAGACTGGCCAGAAAGGAAAGAACAGTTTGGTTGATGTCTCCTGGGCAGCAGACCACCTGGACTGTTTCTCGAATAACTTTGTCCATCATCCAAGACGTTAGATGTTATTGATTAGCGTACTATCAGCTTCACAAACTGTTTCACTCACACTAGACTTCTTGAGTTCAGTGGCTCGGGTGAGTTGAAAGAGCTTCCGGCAGTTGCCAGATGCAGCTGCTGCTTCCAACTCGATAACAAACTCCGACCACTAGGCTCCTAGGTCCTTAAGCACATTTTCCACAATTTGATTACGTAAGGAATTACGTTTATCATTAAACTAGAGGTTAGCCGTGGGCCGACGTGCCTCAAGCTGTAAGGAGCCTGTAAAAACCCAGTGCCTAAAACCGAGACGCTTCGTGAAGCCACAAGCAACTTTATCCGTCACTGTCATGACGTCATGTGCTCATCTATGCTTTACGATATGTTGATAACAAGTCTCGAACCTAGCTCGCCTTAACATTCGGGTACAGAAAATGTGTTTATACAAATTTTATGAATTTACAGGCCACTGAAACGTAAAATAAGACTGGAGAAAAGAGGTCATGATCAGAGTCCAGACAAGTGCGTTTAAGAGAGCAGCAGTTTGATATACAACCACAACATCAAGAACTAGTCGCGATATAATCAATCTGAGTCCAGGCTCGAGTTGAGGAGAAATGACGTCACGCAACATGTCGGAGATGATTGTGTCGATTGTTAGTGCCAACCAGAAACAGGTTGTAGTCTCCACAAAGCTGCAGAAGACGGTCGCTGCTATTTGACCTGTGACCAACAAGTCCCTACTGGCCATCTAGAGAGCTCTCCTCTGTGTCTAAACACCCTATCTGGATATTTGAATTTCCAGTTAATAATACAGTATCTGTCGAACGAGCTTTCTTGAGTAGACCATTTAACTGGTGATAGAACTGATCCTTGATTGTATTTGGGTTGCAATCTGTCGGGGTGTAGGCAAACATTACGAAAGACATCGTTCTTTCCATTTTGATCTAACAACAGATAATCGACTGTTAATAGGGATCCAATCTATTAGTGCTGCATCTGCTCTGGAGCGTAGTGTGACACAAAGGCCAGCAAAGCCGGACGAAGATCCCACAGTCTCCAGAAAAACGTATACAAAACAAGTCTCTTGATTTATGAAATGGAGATCAAATGTGTAGTATTTCACTAGAATCTTGAGTACAGGTTTCTGATAGACAACCGACGTCGGTGTTAAGATTTTTTAAAGACAGATTCAACCCCATATCTATTATCCGACATGCGTTAGTGTAGAAAACTAGTCTGAAAAGTACGCATAGTTTAAGAAAGAATGGTTGAGAAGTAATCGGTGGCAGCATTCAACTTATGACCAGTGAGTGACTTGAGACTATTCACACAAGACATAATTTTCACCACAAGTGAGCTATTGTGTGAGTTGGAAAATAAAAGTAAACATAGAATGGGGACAGTAAGGAATAGAAGGATAAGGGAGTATACAATGATTTTGTATGTCATTAAGTACTTACGATAGTTGTTTAAGAAGGTAGAGAAAGTCAGTCCCCGAGCCCTTGACCTAGAGGTCTAATCCACAATGCAGTGAAACTGAGTCAGATGCGATCTTATGGTAATCGGTAGCCAAGAATAAGTTCATCCACCACTCGACCTCCCAGGATCCTGAAGCCTGTGTACACCTCTGACTTGGAATCAGGTTTTGCAAACTTCTTTAGGTGGATCCGCCGTACCCACCAAATCGGTTTAAGCTCCAGATATTCACTTTCTGTCCTCTCACTTCCGTAAACAACTCCACCGCGGCGAGAAAGCAGTAAGTAGAAATTTCCCGGCAGTGGCTTTATTCGTGTGGTTATATGAGAGAATTTTGAGAGGGAGAGCGAACTCTCTCCACTCTTAGCCGTACCTGGGGATTTGGGGGCAAACATCAATTCAGCATCTAGTCTAATGGTAGCATAATATCGGTCACCAGTCTCATTATCGTACAGTAGAAATGTATCATACAGGGGAAGAAATATTTCTATTTGACCGTTATATCATTCTGTATTCAGGAGAACCAGACACCATTCAAGCTCTTTACAACCTGAACAGCACAGCTCAATCCGGTGGCATGATCATACAGGTATCAAAAACCTTGTGGACCAATTCGAAAAGTATGTGGGTTTTCTAAATATAGAAACGTAGACGTCAAGGCATAATATTAGTACATTTCTGTAATGTAGGACTGTAGAAAAGAAAAAAAAGGTAAAGCTGCTTACTTATTTTTACCAAACCAATTCCCCATACAAGCTACAACTGCCGGCCAACCGGATGCTTGAACTATTCCAGCAACACCCTAAAAAATATCAGCGTACAATATTGCAAAGATTGGAAAACATTATGTTGTTCATAATTAAGAAATTATGGGAACTTGAAAGTTTCAATTTCAACATCGCTTTTTAAATAATAAATGGCGAATGTTGTGCAGATTAGAATCCACACTTTTCAAGAAGACTTAAAATTAGTCTCCGAAGGAAGTGAACATAGGGGAAGATTAATCAAATGATGCATTGATGTTACAAACAAGCTATTAATCTTATCTTTGTTCTTATATGAATATGTACCAACAACAGTGAATTATTGTAGAATTTTGAATTTAGTAATAGGATATTTCAATATGACCATGAACCTTTATAAAGTTTATTTATGTTAGAGCTTGGTTTCTGTTATGATGGATAGATAATTGACAGGTATTTGAATTGTCAGATATTCAATGAACTTTGGATACCTGGACCTAGCAACAAGCCATACATATATCAAAAGACTTAGATAAAATGTCACTATAAGTCGTGTGCGTCGTATTTTATTGAGAAAACGGGCTTAATGGTAATAATCAAAGACCAGAAGAATGTATTGTAAACGTTAGATTGTAAAATCACACCACGGCACTCAGTATTTGAACATACTAAAGAGGAATCTCTGTACTCATGTAATTTATGGAGTAGACGTGTACGTATAGTTAAAATACGTGTAAACTTGGTAGTGTGAAAGCATTAAGCCCAACGCTAATTCACCGGAACTTAATGATCTACAAATATGAAACCCTCTAATCGCCTATAGTATCTAATCATGTTGCTTCCGCGTTCATATTCTGTATATAGGCATATGATATTACTGAATGGAAACCCCGTTTATCTGGTTGGTAACTTTGCCTTTAAACCGATTTTATACAGAGATTCAGACAGATAATCAAGTCTAGTGAGAAACTGATTTGCAGACACATAGTATCACTAGATTCCATATATCTCTGTGTGTTAAATTCATTTTAACGAATCCAGACACGTTCATTGTCATCACACAGCGAGCCGAAGCAAGTGAGAATTAAGAATCAGAAGAATTTGCAGGTAAATATTTTCTTGACGTTTTATCACCCACATATTGAAAATTGTTATCCCTATTGAGGTATGGTCTGCTGACGAAGAATCACCAAGCAAATCTGTCCTGGGATCCTTTCTCCAACTGTTGCCAAGTGCGATCGATGATCTTGATGTTCGACTCCAATTGTCGACACTACACGTTTATTTGGTCTGCCTCTTACTTTTTGTCTTGAAGTCTACCGATTAGGACTTACCTTGTGATACAGTTTAATGGTTTCCGTAAGCTGTGTCCGATCCACCTCAATCATCTTTTCCCAATTCCCCCCTTATCCGGTACTTCATTTGTTATCTGGTCTCTGGTCAAACGGATCTAGAGTATTTCCAATAGACGACTATTTATAAATACCTGTACTCTATTTTAGAAGCTTGGGGTAGTTCTCCAATTCTCAGCTCAGTACGGTAGAACTGTTTTGACGTTTCAAATGTTGGAAATTCTGACTTGGATCATGCATGATAGTACTTCAGAGTTTTAGACACTCTCCAACTACAAGAAACTCTTCCTTGCTTTGACAATTCGTTTCTTCACATCTGCATCAGATCCTCCTTGTTTACCAACGATGGTGTCCAGTTAGATAAGGCTCTAACGTGTCCCAGAGTATCACGTGTGACTTTGGCGGTGCTCGCTATGTTGTGCTTCAGAATCTCGCTTTTTCCCTTGTGAATGTTGAGGCTTACATCTGCGGAGGCCACTGCTACACTGGGTGTCTTCATTTGCATTTGTTGCTTTATGCGACAGTACGACTAAATCATCTGCAGAGTCCAGGTAAACCAGCTGTGCTCAAGATGTCCACTAAATTCTGTGCTTTTCGTGAGCTTTAGAGGTCTTCATAATCCAGTCAGTAGCCAACAGGAAGAGAAGAGGTGAGATGAGACAGCCTTGTCTGGCACTGGTCTTCACGAGGGAATGCATCCGTGAGCTTCCTTCTATGCAGAACTTCGCAATTCACTTCATTGTAAGAGATCAATATAATACTAACAATCTTTTCAGCTACTCGATAATGTCGAGGAAGATTTTGCAGGGTTGTTTGGTCCATGGCGCTAAATGGTTTCTTATAAATAAGAGAATTGATGTAGTGATAAGTTCCATTCAATCAATGGTTCAACAACGATCTTCAGTGTTGCGACTTGTTCGGTACATGATTGACATATTCTGAGGCTAGCTTAGTAGTGCCGAATTTGGACATCAACTGAATTTCCCGTTGAGTTTGGCAGGATTGTCAAAACCTTACCTAGTACTGACAGTAGTGTGATCCTCCTGTGTTTCTTGCACCTACAACGACTTAGTTTCTTCGGTTTCATTCCTAACAATTTGATGGTACATTTTATTGCTCTCACATCCCTGACCACTCTCGTCCCTTTCTTTTAATCCATGGAGCCCCCTTATGCGTTCGTACATAATGCTGTCTATTCCGACACTGGCATTTAGGATCTTCATCAAAATGGTCAAGTCTTTTCATGGGTACCTTTCTAGTAGAAACTGCAGCTTTCCATTGTCTGATCTTTGTCGTCCTTAATGCCATCATTGATGAGTACATAGCACTGAATGATATTTATTTTAATATTTTCCTTCCTTGTTCTGAAGGATGCCCGATGACAAAGAGGTAAAGGTTTTTTATATCATAAATGCTTCTTGTGTCCCTTTGAAACGTGAAATTCATGAGGAACATTTTCTCCACGACCACAATACAGTAAATGTTCTCGTGATGTCAGTGTACATAACATCAACCACAATGACGATCCTAGTTTAACCTTTAACGATTGTAAGATTTTACTGGTTTCATCCTTAAGTTTATTAAGCGTTATCCTACTTTTTATTAAATAAAGAAACGAAAAGTAGGGTTTTCATTATCCGCCCGGCAATTTTTGTAAAATTTTTTTTAAAAATCCCCCCCATTAAAAATTTTTTTGACTCCAAAATTACTATATTTTTTATCCCGTTTCGTCCAATGAAATGGCTAGTTTTAAAATTCCTCTTAATTGGTTAGTTATGTCTTGTCGAATTGTTATAAAATATCAGTACTTGTCGACGAAGTACATTTTAATCATCATTATGGAGGAGAGTAACGTGCCGAGTACAAGCACTGTTGTTTCTCACGTAACAGAAACGGAGGAAGTCTTTTTGACAACATTGTTTCTCGTTGCGTTTCCATCGCTTGAAGCGTTAAAGTCCGCTATCACAAATTATGAAAGATCGACTTACTGTCATTATGTAGTGAGAGATTCGTATTTGGGCAGAGATGAAAATTCGTATATTAGATTTGTGTATTGGAGAAATGGCCGTATAAGATCCAGCGGTTCGTCACAGCGGATTAGATGGAGGAGGTAATTTGGTTAATGTTATTATAATTTTTTTTCACGAAGGGCTTCCATGAACACTCAATGTCCGGCCTTCATGTTTTGTAAGATTATAGACGGCTACTGGACTGTTGTACGTGGGAATGTGCATCACAATCACGAGTGCAATTCCCTGAGATACCAAAGTAATTCATAGGTGCGCAGGTTAACGGAGGCCGAGTTTGAAACTGTGCGACCGCTGCTGATATCTGGTACCGCTGCATTCCACATTAAGAATTATGCTTACCATTCTTATGGGAAACGTCTGAATGATCAAGATATCTTTAATATGCGGTACAAAGTGTTCTCACACGCGAACCTTCCTGGTAAGCAATTTGCCAATTTATACTGTAAACGATAGGTGGTTACGGAAAATTAAAAGCTCACATAACATCTTTGGGTGGGCTTTGCGAATACGAATTAGACGATGATAACTGTCTATCGTACATCAGATTGTCGGATAAAAGCCAACATTGGTCAAGAGCCAGAAATACGTCGACTTCAGGGACGACTGACACCAGCTGCATGTCAAGTACTGAAGCGACATTTGCGCACTCCTATAACGGAGTTTGTAATTTCTGTTGACTTATTCACGGTGTGGACGCAACAGGCACTTACAATGTACACCGTGATACCATGCTCTGCTCCTGTTTATTTTTCATTGCAAACGGATTGCCATGTCGTCACAAATTGGCTTACTGTACACACAGTGCGCAGGTGTCGCTTTACAAATTGCTGGGCGGATAATGAAAACCCTACTTTTCGTTTCTTTATTTAATAAAAAGTAGGATAACGCTTAATAAACTTAAGGATGAAACCAGTAAAATCTTACAATCGTTAAAGGTTAAACTAGGATCGTCATTATGGTTCATGTTATATCCAAAGAGCTGTAACCCTTGAAGACTCTATAGACTCTCAAAGATTCACAAGAATAATACTCCACTAAGAGCAGGAGTCGATTTTACAAATTCACCGACATACAATCTGGCGAAATACTTAACTAGGATACTTAAACCGTATGGTAAACTGATTAATCATAGAGTTAGAGATTGTGGAATTCAAGAATATTATCGATACTATCGATATAGAAGAGGATGAAATATTGATAAGTTTTGATGTATCTTCCTTTTTTACTAATGTATCTGTCAATAGTGTTGGATATTGTTTGATTGTTTAGAATCTGACTCAGATTTGAATTTACGATGCCCATTAGATATATCTGACGTTATCAAATGCTTGGAATTATGTCTAAGGTCCACCTAATTCGTATTTCGAGGAGACCTTCGCAGACAAAAAGCAGGTATAGCAAGGGGTTCATTAGTTTCTTCGATTGTAGCGAATTTATTCATGCATTCACTACAAACCAGTGCAATCGCGAGAAGTGTGTCATCTTTGTGACATTTTTATCACCACTAAGTGGGATGGTTTGGAAGAATTGTTTGGAAATGTAAACGACATTTTGGAGAGCATTAAACTAACGAAGGAAATAAAATTCAGTGACAACAATCTAGCGTTTCTCGATTGTTTGGTTGGACGAAGACATAATAATAAGTTGAAAATAAATGTATTTAGGAAATCAACATATTCTGAGAGATACTTAGATTATGGTTTGGCTCACATGCTATGTACGAAAGTCACTGTTGTAAAAAAATTAATCAACAGAAGTATTAAGCTCGTTACAGATAAGAAAGACCAACAAGTTGAACTGAATAGTTTTGTTTACACCTAAGGATAACAACTATCCAAAAGAGTTGTTAAAGAAGATTATTAGAAATGAAAGAAAAATGAAACTAGAATGTGTACCGAAAGATTGGAAGTTCACCGTGGTCATCTCATACCGTAGTGAAACATTGGGAGAAATCAAGAGGACTCTAAACAAACATGACATAAGTTTATTTTCGGGCGTGTAACACCATAAGATCGGCATTAGTGAAGGTTAAGGATAGGTTCCCAAAGGAAGAACAACAAAATACTGTCTATGAGATTAACTGCCATGATTGTAATGCAGCTTATGTGGGAGAAACATCCAGACAATTGAATACGAAAATTCCAACCCCCTTTGTGTATTCAAAAACAGTTTGTTCTCACCTTAAACCTACCCTGGTAATGTTAGCTCATTATCCAGAGTGATGAGGTTTCAGATTGTTTTCACATTATTTCCTTATTATCTCTGACTCCTCTAACCCTTCACTTCTAGTCTAGTTGACCTTTTATTTTTATATATAAATGTTCTTAACAAGTATATGTGTGATCAGATGGATCGAAATGTATTGCGCTAATATATCACATAGTTCTGATAATCTTCATTTTCTTATTACACTATCGAAACTTTTATTTTTCCTTCATATAAAACATATTAACACCGAATATCAAGCATTAATAACTCAATCTTACACATACATACACAATTCGTTCAGTCATTTAGTTTCACAACGTGAACTTTTTACATGATTCACATTAAACTGACTCATGTTATCCAATTTACTAAAATAAACATCCAAATACGATTGGATTAACATTGTTAACCCTATATATTTCTTTGATGGTTTTGAAGAAGTCCAGACAAGTTTACTGGGTGAAACGTTGGAATTATTTAAATTTCAATTGCTGAGATTATCTTAAATATAATTTTCACATGTCTTCTCTATATTCGGCGCCCAATTTTTTTCAAACTATTAAATTCTATTGATGACGAATATTCGTATAAACGAGTTGAGAATGTTTAAGTTGTCAACCTTTGTAAATCTAAATATTTTGTGATAACTATTGATGGCTCAAATGAGAACGTCTACGAACCTCTAGTTAGAAGCCATGAAATTAGTCATGCGTGGAGTGAAACGGATGTTCATCGGATGACACTAAACGATACTCACAACTTATCTCATATCGATAAGAGTTACAAACTATGAGCCATTGAGTTCTAATATGGTGACTCAAGAATATCGTGGTCATCACGAGACTTGGAAGCCGATTGACTTGACCCTGTATCGGTCGATAATACACACTGTGATGTTGTCTCAAGGTTGGATAAAGTGAATACTAATTATTCATCAGTTTCCAGTAGGATTGTAGCAGGTATCCATGATGAAAACTACATCTGAATTATATGAACCTCGACAAGACTTTAATTTGATATAGATATTTGCGGTTGCGAACCGCATTGCCCGTTATTAATTTCTTCTAGTATCACAATGTTTGACTGAATGTACAGGGTGTATGAATCCAACAAAGTATTACGTCATTATTTTAGTCGTCTGTTAAAAGAATAGTTTTCGCTCTGTCTTAGTGTTGTGTAATATCTCATCTGTGTTTCTTTCTTCCGGACTTCTTTTCGATTGATGATCACTATCGTACGGCTTTCTTGTTATTGCTTACCATTTTAGGAATCGTTTGGAACAACTAGTTCACAATGTAATCTTTTAATACCAACAAAAAAGAACTCTTCATCATTTCTGTCTGCACTAAAAGTACCTGTAAGATTGTGTGTAGTGAGGATGTATTTAGCTAAAAGCAATGGCCTTGTCATGTGTTCCAACCAACCATGACACATCAACACATTGAGATGAAATTGACGAGATGAACAACAAAGGAGTCGAAATAATAGGAGCATTACTGATTGTAAACAAAACCATATACAGACAACACGGCTTGAAAATGAGCACACGTGAAGCAAACGATCCAGTTAATCCATGTAAATGAATTCATAGACAAACATATTTACACTTACTTATTGGTTTATTTTGTTTAAACAATATAATAATATATAAACGCATCACAGAATAAACTAGAGACAAACCGATAAGATGGATTAATCTAAGTGTTAATTCACTTTTCACCTACTTCAAAATCTACCAAGTAATTCTAACAGGCAATAGTGTGTATACAAACATCTAAACGTATATGATACTAAATAATGAAGATTACTAAGTCAATATTAGCTCAAAATGAGAGGTTACCGCACTGTAAATATACTAAAGAAATTACTACGACAACCCCATAACCGAAAATTTTTTATACACATGTTATTAATGTCTGCTTACCTGAGTAACTGCATAGTAAGCAAACGAGTGAACATTGAAAAAGTATCCAAGACCAAAGGCTATTGTCGTCACACCAGAAAGAAGAGTACCAATGCATAGGTAAATTCTAAGGTCAATTTTATCTGCAACATGTCCACTATAATAAAATTCATATAAATATATGGGAAAAAGAATAGGTTATACTGAGACCATACTCAGTCAGTCATTGAAAATGTGGAATCTGGTACGTATGTACATTGGTTTAAGTTCCCACATACAATAAGCACAGAAAGATTAAACTATCAGGCCAGGCACCCGAAGAGTAGAGGTAGTAATAGTATGAGCGGTGATAGAAAAGATTAGACATCAAAGATACGATTCGAGAAAATATAAATTAATGAAACAAAAAAGTTATAGAGAATTCAAAAGCTCAGGATTTCAGGGACGACAAAGGGTGAGTGCACTTACAACACGGTAAACGATTCTGGGCCATATCATTCAAAGTCTCTGATCATTGGTTACGATAACTTCGTTGACCAAGACTATATCCAACTGCCTGACAACTTAATTTGAGTCTCAATAGAAAAATGAAGGGCTTCGTCATACTTTCCAATGTGTAATCGTCATATTTCTAACGTGAATTCAGTTTTATGAATACAGAACGAACTGGAAAGATGGAAGGTGGTTAAACTCACCTTGAAAATGCTATCGTAACACCCTTATGTAATAGGACCTTTGCACACATTTACGTCCTTTTTATCAAAACATGTTTTGCAACTTGAAGTTTGTTCTACAAATTGGTGGTTTTTGGTTGACTTAGTTTTTGAGCTAAACATGAAGCTGAAAATGTTTGGCAACACCTAAAGAAATGACCCTAAAAAGAATATTTTCACAAATGTTTTTAAATGATGGTTTAGGATTGACCTAGCTTAACATTTACGCTAATATGTGAAGTTATTACATGTCATATTTCCTCCACTTGTTTGAGAATTGTTAATCCTAACCACATTGTGACCAGTGAAAGCTTATTAGGAATGAACGAACTTCCTCGTTATTTGTTAACTTTCCTTACACGTAACGTTCGAGACAGCGATTTTCTCTAAATAACTAGTATGCCAAGCTGCAGTAGTTCTTCCAACTCTGGTTGCAAGGTATAACCGTTGATGGCGAAAAACGAGAGGTTACATATAGCTTATCATGTGCTTTGCAAAAACTGTTCACGTAGTGAAACTACAGACAAAAATGCTTGACTGGGACGCGGACTTATAAACAGAGAAGCACTAAACTGTACATAATTTACTGTAAATATGTTTAGACGTTTCCAAACTTCATGACAGATCATTTTGAAGGGCACGGTAGTAGTAAACCAACACCACAGGAAATAAATGGAAGACTGCTTTTGAACACTGAAGGACAAGTTTGACTGTTGGAGATTTTCATTATACGAATTTTGCTAGACTTTGATTTTGAATAGGAGAACCTGTTTAAAAACCACTTATTTGGTCGTTATTAGTCTTCTGTTCCTGATTGTCATTCCTTGAAAAAAAAGCTTAATCTACAGCTACTAAAATATTGAATTGTCAGAAACGATGTAGTGACAATCTCTGAACGCTGCAGTTACTTATACTAGCGAGCCGTCGTGACACTGAGATTGGGATAACTGATTTTCTTTATGTTGCAAGGTAGCGAATATCGTTTGATGTAAATGCCCCACAATCCCCTAATACGGCCAAGAGTGGAGAGAGTTTGCTCTCCCTCTCAAAATTCTCTCATATAACCACACGAATAAAGCCACTGCCGGGAAATTTCTACTTACTGCTTTCTCGCCGCGGTGGAGTTGTTTACGGAAGTGAGAGGACAGAAAGTGAATATCTGGAGCTTAAACCGATTTGGTGGGTACGGCGGATCCACCTAAAGAAGTTTGCAAAACCTGATTCCAAGTCAGAGGTGTACACAGGCTTCAGGATCCTGGGAGGTCGAGTGGTGGATGAACTTATTCTTGGCTACCGATTACCATAAGATCGCATCTGACTCAGTTTCACTGCATTGTGGATTAGACCTCTAAGTCAAAGGCTCGGGAGATGACCCCTAATAACAACCTTCGGTTTAGGCACTCGGAGAGTATCCCAGCCCACATAAAATGAATGATAACCACTTAGTGGGACATTTTTAGGTGACCCTTCGTATGAATGTTTATGAGTCCGAATAAAGTACGACTGATGGAAGTAGGAGCTAGATCTTTAGAAGAAGACAAGTATTCAATGATGTGACTTAGGCATTGTGGAATCATGACTACTATGGTATTTTTCTTACTAAAAAAGAACGTTGTTTCTTCAACACTTCTCACGACTCATGTATTCGTCTTGACCTAATCACAAACCAAATACAGATTTAAAACTCTAGATTTGAACCCCACTAATATGATGGATAGCGATACAACCTAATTGCTCAAACCGAAATAGGTGGAATGAGGGCCAGAACCATGGCCTACCAGTTGATAACCGAGCGACTGACCATCAACTCACTGTTCCTACAACACCTTGGTTTTGTCAATAACCTCACAAATAATACACTTTCATAAAGGCCACTTAAAAATACCCCCTGTTCATAAATCTCTTGTCAACACTTGTCTTTTAGCGCTGTTCAAAAACTACTCAGCTTTTGCACTACACTGATTATACATTGTTATATGCTACCCGCTTCATTGTGCAAGACTGAAAAAGATAGTTCTTGGAAGTGATTCTGCAATAATAAGCGAATTCAGTAACGGAAAACATTGTCTAAGAAATTTCAATCCATAGGACCAATAAAAAAAGTAAGTCCGTACTACCGTGTCAGCATGTTTACAAAAATGAATCAACAACTTACCTTAAGAACATACTAACGGCGTAAAATGAGAGGAAAATAAGATCAAGTGTGCCAAAAAGGGAATCATAATTTTGACCATCTAACACAAGGAGTAAGACTCAAAGCTGTCAGTTTATGAACACATACCGAAAGGGGCCCAGTCACAGAATGTTTCGTTTCCAGGAACTATGATTTTCCCCTCTTTGTGGGCTTCTTCAGAACAATTCTGATGAAGTACTGACTTTACAATACTAATCGGTTTTCGGGATAAGTGATAGCACGAGTATATCACCAAAGTGAAGAAAAATATATGCACGCGACCACTAAAATTTATAGGATGGTGACAAAGCAAATAATTACGTTTTCGAGTTAAGTGGTGGCAGAAATCTTTGGAGATGCTTTACTCCCGGTGCCAAACTCACCATTTGAAGATGACTGACCGACAACAATCAGCACTTACACAACCGTGAGGTAGAAACAAGCCAATAGTCGAAACTAAGAGTTGGTGGAGTAACGTTTTGAAACTAGTGATAATGGCCTTGACAGGGACTTTCACATTCTTGGATCCAAATTCCAACCGCTTCGTGATGAGCTTATGTAAATCGACTGCTTCATCTGTCTTCGACTCTTGTTGTTTTCGTGCGCTTTCAGGCTTTTGCAGTGTTCAGTGAGTGACAGTCTAGCCACTCGACTTTACTATTTCTACTCAGTTTGGTATCTAGTTGTGGATTTGTACATCTTCTAATGATAGTGAGTGGGTTTTTCTCAGATCATTTGAGGTTTCTTGAACCAGGAAATGTCACATTACCAGACATCAGGTTAGATGATTGCAATGTGAGAAATAATAAGATGAAAACTCCAATGCTAAAAGTGAACAACCGCTTCAAGGAGTAAGTAAATAAACAGGTTAGTAAATTGGCAATGGAAACATCGTGAGCAAACCATAGTGTAGGAAGAAAAGGGGAGACGGAGTTGACAGTGAGTGAGGTAGAAATAAATTAATGACATTTGATAGCGATAGTAGTAGATAAGTTACGAGACATGCATCCAGCACAGCTAGTCAAGGTGGTAGATGGTAATCTATGGGTGAGCGTGTGTTTGTCAAGTCTCTTCTTGTAGGTATCCGCTGAGGAGGCTGTGATCATTTCGGTTGTGAGAACACTCCAAATGGGAGAGACTCCAAGTGAGAAAAAATGAGAGTGTGACCGAGCTTTCTCTCCTTGATGTGCAGTTTTCCGGTGGTCGGTTTGCTAAGCATGCTCATAATGTTCTGATGGGATGCACCTGTTGGGGCGACTTGGCATACTCATATGTTGTACATCATTATCAGATCACCACACACTCTTATAGCTCAGCGAGAATAATTCCAAGTGTCGTAGTCTGTCTATGTAAGATTATTCTTCGACCTGTTTGGTTGTTGGTCTATATACTTGGTTTGTGACACTTATGTCTCGTTCGAAGTGTGGAGACCCAATATTGTGGACTTTGGAGTAATGTTTTGGGTACGTGTTAATTCGGAGGAAACAATTTTTGGGCGAGTGCACCAAATTGTCTTTGCATAAAGTGAAGAGTTGCATTTGTATTGGCTGCATCCTAAATGTAGTTTCAGATGGCGTCTTAACTCTCTGTAATAGTAGCCCGAGATCATATTTCTTTCAAGATACACATGAAAATACATTGAGTGTGAGGAAAAATGGGAGATGTCGCTTTTCTACAGTGCCGAACTCATTGTATTTGGAAATCTTATCAGCCACTGAATAAGAATATGGAGTAGTCATCACTTATTACAAATACCATACACGGATAAGTTTCTTTAGATCTCCAGTTGAGATTAAAAGTTATAGCCTTAATATTTATTCAATTGTTTATTTTATGTGGGCATTGCAATTTTGGTTATACTATATCGGATAATAAAATGTTCGTGTGTTATAATACAGGTTTCGCGCGCTTGATTTGTTAAATATCTTGGTATTAAAATTATTATAACCACCCTAAAGCCTTTGCACATCACTTAGAGGGAGGGTAAATCATAGGCTCAAGAACGTATAAGTAGGCACGGACTGGCGGGTAAGCCACTGGTTTGCGCGCACACGTTACATATTGTCGTGGATTTTTTGTGTAGTTACTTATCAGTTATTAACAGGCTTTTTTCCATCACACATCGATTTCCGTAATGCTTGTGCTTGTAATATAGTTTTTATTCCAACTTATAATGAATATCTACATAGAAGAACAAAACGAAAATCTTATTCACTTTTTATTATTAGTTTTATACGTAGAATCAATACACACGACTTCGGGATATTGACTGTACAACCGTATCTGGTCATAACTGCTGAAGCATATTGCTGTAATACATCCATTTTCTACATGCTCTCTAACTTCACCGTTTTGTCGCATAATGCTCATTACCTGATTCCGAGTACAACCTGAAAAATATTTAGATACACTTGCCTGTGGAGAGTTCAGCTTTCATATTTTTGACATCAGCAGCGGTCACCTGCTTACCTGTTCTCTCCTTAATACTTTTTACAACTTCATCTGTCAACTGACAGTGCAATATAACTGGTTTCAAGTTTTCTTTTTCTTCTGATGACAATCTTCTACTCCACGGATCACAAACCATCCAAGAACTACTACACGGATGATTGTGAGACATGTTGTAAGACTTTATAACGTATTCTTGACCCTCTAGTCTCATACGAAACATCGATTGACATTTTAAAAACTTAGACCTTAAATGTCACACATTTGTTAAAGTCCTCACGGTTTTTTATTCACTGTCAAAACTTCTGATTTACGTTTACGATCAAACGTGCAACGAAACACCATGAACAAGTATTTAAATCTCACATCCTTCAACAATCTACTTTCTGCGTGAACGTAGTGTGTATGGGTTATCTGAAAAAACATAGATTTATTCTACCATAATTTATGGAAATCCTTTAGCGAATTATCAAATTCAATCCAGCTTCCGAATCTCTTGTTCAGCATAATACGTTGAAACGCGTCGCTTACGTCCACTGAAATTTCACCTGAGCATGAAGCACTACAGACAAAACGCATTAGTTATTTAAAAAAGGGTTATTCCATGAATAAAAATTACTGAAAGAAGAACAACAAATATTTAGGACTTACCCTTCAGTTGACATTTCATTTCACGAAAACTATGCGTATCTATAACTTTTTACGTCATCTTATCTTTCTTACGTTGTTTTCCGGACCTTATCAAGAAATTATATAAAGGTGTTGACGTTCACTACAGCAGTTGGGACCACAGATCAAGTAACGAAGAAATAACAGAACTAACGTGTGCACTACAAAACAGAAAATGCTAAATTAATGCTCTTAGCAGTTTGTGATTTTCATGCATGAAAAGATGACTTAAATATGAAAAAACTTAATACTCATAAGACCCAACACACCCACGGCAATTGAAATACAGAATGACCGCCTCTGGTCAGGCCGTTCAAGGTTGACGAAACAAAACGGCGGACAGATTTGAACGGGATTACCACTTTTTCCCTGCCTTATAATGACGGTGGAACTGGTGGAACCGGTTTCCTGAAGCAGATCGTGTGATAAATGATAAAAATTTACCATCAAAAGGCAACACTTAGTAAAGGTTGGAAATGATGAACCCAAAATAGTCAATCGGTATGGCATGGGTCGGCCATGCGGACGTGGCCGCCCATACTTATGCCTGATACCCCGCGTGGAGGATTACAGGCTATTCACCAGAATTCTCCATCCAACTCTGTCCTGAGCAGTCCTTTCCAATTCTTTCCAGTTCCTGATAATCCTATTCATGCCTGCATCCAATGCTCGGCACAGTGTGTTTCATGGTCTTTCTCTTTTCCGTTTCCCTTCAGAGTTTCAATCTAGCACTTATTTCGTGATGCGGTTTGGTGATGTATGTCCTATACATCCCTAGCGTTTTTTCTCAATTTCTTCTTCAACCGGAAGCTGGTTTATTCGCTCCTACAGTAGGTTGTTGCTGATGGTACACAGCCAACGGACATTGAGCATCTTGCGTACATATTTGTGTATAAACACTTTTACATTTTTGATGATGGTTGTGGTAGTTCTCTATGTTTCAGATCCATACAATAAAACTAACTTTCCTGACGTTCGTATTGAAAATTGTGACTTTGATATTAGTTGACATTTGTTTTGAATGCCATATGTACCTGAGCTGTATGAACGCGGCCCTTGCTTTGCCAATCCTCGTCTTCACGTCTGAATCAGATCCTCCTTGTTCATCGATGATGCTGTCCAGGCACGTGAATTTTTCTACCTTATCCAGAGTTTTCTCATCAAGTATGATTGAGTTGGCGTCCTCCTTGTTGCATTTGAGGATATCGCTTTTTCCATTGTGTATGTTGAGGCCTACTGATGTAGATGTTGCAGCTACACTAGTTGTTTTCATCCGTATTTGTTGATGTGTATGGGATAGAAGAGTCAGGTCATCTGCGAAGGTGAAATCTTTCAACTGACTTTAAGCCGTACAACATATTTCATGCTTTCCGTCAGTCGTCGAGGTCTTCATAATCCAGTTAATCACCAGAAGAAAGAGAAAGGAGGGAAAAGGCAGCATCTGACTACGGTCCTTTCTTGGAATGGGTCTTTTAACTGTCCTCCATGCACGACATTGCACTGTAGTCCGTCGTACGAATTCTGAATGATGTTAACGATTTTCTCAGATACTCCATAGCGTCGAAGAATTTTCTCTTAGTCATTCTGTCAAATGCTTTCTTATAATCAAGGAAGCTGATGTATAGTGGTGAGTTCTATTCAACTGATTGTTGGACGATGATCCGTTATGTCGCAATCTGGTCTGTGCACGACCTATCCTCACGGAATTCTTCCCGTTGATCTCGAAGTTGGGAGTCTACTGAATCTTTCGTCCGGTTCAGCAACACTTTTAACAACCTTTTCTGTTACTGACAGTAATGTGGATGCCTCTGTAGATCAGTTTTCACATTTGCTTTGGCTTCTTGCTTTTTAAATCTTGATGAGATGTCCTTATTCCAGACCTTCAGCACCTAATATTCCTCCTAAATCTTCGTTAATAGAATGTGGAGCATGTTTGTAGCTGCTTCCATTTCTGACCTAAGTGCTTCAGCTCGTGTATCGCCAGATCCTGCTGTTTCCCATCCTTGCTTTCTCTGATGACCACCGTGATTCCTTCGATCGTTGGTGGGGTGACATCTGTAGGGAATTCCTTCCAATTATCTTAAACTATCTATGTATTTCCTATATGAACACCACTGTAGCTCATCTCAATTCGCCAAATGAAGAAGCAAATGAACTGAGAGTTAGGGCTTGAAATAAAATCCACCGTGAAAATTGGTGTTTAGATGAAGCACTCATTCCCTAAGTGAGCATAAAAATTATGTGTGCGAGTGGTTGTTTTTAATCGATAGCTTTGAAACATTTCCCCCTTAAATCATTTTTCCTTCTGATACATCAGTACCAAATGTAACCTTAGGCCAAAAATCGTTGTTGATGAGTGTTACTATTAAATATTTCAAACTGTCTTCAACTACTTGTTTAAACTAATAGTATCAGTGATAAGGCAGCAATTGGATAAGATCAATTTTGCTCGAGATATAAATTTCCTTGGTATATTCGGTGTATGACT